TTGTAGAGATTGGGGTTCCTTAATGCCAGATGAAGCTATTCTGGGTGTGCTGGAGTGTTCGGACTTAACCTTAGCGAATCCAAGCCTACACACACACACACACACACACACACACAAACACACACACAGCTTCTACTGTCCATGCCCATTCTTCCTCTCCTTCTGAGATGTAGCACATATACCCCCAACTCCTAGCAAAATGCACAGCAGCCTAAGCTCAGGATTCTTTCCCAAAGTCCAATGATTTCTTTTTAGTGGAGGACCAGGGCCTAGACCTGGAGTGCACACCTCACAGGGAGCCTTGAGCCTTAGCCCAACTGACCTCAGTTGATATTTACATTAATTTCATTTTCTCTAATAGTTATTGTGCATGTTTATTTTCATTTTGTCAAAAACAATAGTTTGTATACATCAGATACAATACAGAAATGTTTTGAGTGGAAATAAATATCCAGGTCCCAGGCAAGCTGTCAAGGGGCTGATGTCGATTTTTCAAAATGCTTCAGATTTCCTCCTTGTCTTTTTCAAGCCACCAAATTCGTTTTTCTTTTTTGCTTGTGGTTTCACTGCAGGTGTTGACTGTTCATTACATGAGAAAATGGCTTCCAAGGCAGTCAGGAAATGCTGTGTAAAAGCCTGCGAACAAAATATGTATGAAATATCCAAAGTGGGCGGGGTTGGGGCATAGGCAGATTTGAGTGTGTCTCACACAGTAAGAAGACTGAGCTTGTTGCAGGGTTGGGGGTTCTGTACTTTGCTTAAATTCTCAAAATTTAATGCCAGGATTTGAGGTTCTTCACATTTCAAAACAAAACATCTCTCAACCAAATTTTGGTCAATCTTCTCTAGAACAGGTTATGCCCTGCAAAAATTCCTGACACTGATATACCTCCACCAGGAGCCCAGGAGGCTCCCTTGGGAAATGCAGCCTCATGACACCAACGCGGTTGGAGCCTCTAGCTCAATCCAGGAAAGTCAGGGCCTGCTTGATACCTACCCAGTCTTCTTGCAAACTCCAGCTCCTAGCTGATGGAAGTATAAACTAGGTTTTAGCTAGGAGAATTAACAAAATCTCTAAATCTCTAAGACCAAGCATTCAACATTTCAACTCCCCTTCCTTGAAGCCAATTTGATGTATATGAAAAATAAATTTTTAATTGCTTTTATGAATATATATACATCTACATATATACATATACACTGGGAAGAAGTACCAGCCTGCCAGGGCGCTGTGGCTAGAAATGTTTCCCCATCTGGCTGGGCTCATGGAAGCGGTGGTACCCAGAGTCCGATCTCTCAGTCTGAGTCTGCATTCAGACTGAGGAGGTTTGCCTCCTTGAAAACAACTGAACAAAGGCGGAAGCCGTACTGAGACCTCGGGTCTGCAGGGCTGGGAAAAGGACCCGGAAACCAGACTTAGACCCAGGCCCTAAGACAACATACAGATGCTGTTTCTTTCCAAAATATACCATTAAATCATTGCTTTCTTTCCCTTTAGTCTGGGATGTGTGGGGGCAGGGGATATCCACAGAGTGCACTCCCCAACGAAAATTAAATTATTCTAAGTATAAAATCTTGTCTGTGAGTTCAGCGTGTTTTCCAAATCTATCCCCTTTCCTGGTCCACACAAAGACTGCGGTATCTCCTTCCGGCAGACATTTGGAACCACAAGGAAATTTGTAAGAAACAAACGCCTGAAAGAAATGATGCTAAAGTCTGAGTGCTTAACATTCCCTCCAAGGAAGAAAAATGCATTCTCCGAAAACACTGCAGTCCACGCAGGCTTCTGGACTAAGAAAAAGGTTTTAAAACAAGAAAAAATGGCTTCATCTGCCATTCAATCAGTTGCTAACTCAGAGGGCGACGGGGAATATTTTTAAGGCCTGGGGGTTCTCCCCAAGAGAGGTGGGCTGGGGAGGCTTCCGGGATGTGTGCGGGCGGAGGAGAAATCCGGAATCGCTGTAAATATTCATGTCTGCCCAGTGAGGGGGGAGCTGGGGGGCCCTTCACCCGCCTCTCCCAGCTACATCCACCCCCCTCAGTGGTGGTGGGGTAGAGCAAGGCGCCTGTCCGACTGTCCTTGGACAAAGGTGATCTCCCCACATTTTTGTTCTCCAGTCCCTTGACTTAAGGAGTCCATTCCGAAGCCTCTGTAGGGAAGGGACTGGCTCTGGGTGTTTTCCCCCGCGTTTCTCTTCTTTCGTTTCCTAAAAGAGCATAAATAATTAAAGTTTGGCAGGGAGGAAAAGCTTTCTTGCAGAACTGTAGTGGCAATAAATGAAATGACTCAGAATCCCTTCTCCAGTCAGCTTTTACGAGAGAGCTGCCAGACAGTGTCTGTTCACGTTCTCCAGATACCAGGGCCGCCCTGACAAAGTTAAGGTCAAGTTAGTGTCTTATCTTGGGTGGCTCAAAATTACCGCATCGCGTCCGGGCGCTGCGCTGAAAGCTATTGCTCGCCGAGCTGCTGGCTGCGCCCCGAAGGCCTGGTGCGTTTCTCCCTGCGTTTCGGGTGGGGCCGCGCAGACAAGGACAAGGCCACAGCGCCGGGGTCTTCACGGTAGGTTTTCGAACGGGACGCGCGGGTCCAAAGGCTGCGGTTTTTCTTGGGTTTGATGTGTGGGGGGAGGACCAAGGAGGGAACTGGGGCCAAAGAGCGAAGCGGGCTGGGGCTGGGACTGGAACGAAAGCCCTGGGTTGTGGGGGAGGGCAAGGGTCCCCGCTAACTAGCCAAGAGGGGCCTGCTGCCCCCTTCCCCTGTGTACCCGCGCGGCGTTGCAGATGGCTCACCCTCCCCCGCCAAAGCGCTGCTCGAGCCCGGAGCCGCCGTCGCCATGTCGTTGAACTTGAATGGTTCGTCCTTCCTCATTTCCCTCTTCGGCGGTCATCAGGTTCCACTTTGGGGGCGGCGTTGTCTGCGCCCCACCCCGAGCCGCGAGAATTTTTAACATCTCCAGATACATAAAAACCCGGCTTGGAGCCCCTGCGTCTTCCCTGGGTCCTGAGCAACCGCAGGGCCAATGTGCAGTGTCCGGGGAGCCATTTTAGGAGAGAGATCCAGGGGCGTCGACCACGAGCCCGAAAGGGAGAGGAGCTGGCCTAGGATGGAGATGGGGAGGCAGATAAGTGTGCCGGGGGTCTGGGCTGAGAAGGGTGCCAGATGGAATCTGGGCAGGGGTGCCAGCTACGGAGAGGGGGCACACAAGATGGGCAGTTGGGGGGGGAAGCTCGGTGCCCTCCTGTCGCCACCGACCTGTTTGCGCAGTGTTGGGGGAGGGAAGCAGACGTGGGAAGGGGCGGAGGAAGGAGAGAGGAAGGGAGAAAGGGAGGGTGGAGAAAAAGAGGAAGGGGGGGACATCAGCCAGAAAATAGATATTAGCTCAAACCACCCGCCTTTTCTCTGTCTGTCCGCACTGTGGGCAGAGAGCGCAGCACCGGTACTGCGGCAACACGGTCGGGAGCGAACCAGCATCGCAGCCTGCCCTGGGCATAGAATTGAGGCCCAGGCTCCAGTGCTGGGATTGTCTGGGCAGTGGGATCTTGGGGAAAGGGGCAGTCTCCTGCTCTCGGTTTTGGGATTTGGGTTTGGGGAGAGACTGCTTTACCTTTGGAGAGCACCTACTCTCTCGGAGGTGGGAGCCCAGGCCTTGCCTGGACCCTTGAGCTAGGAGGAGAAGGTTGTGTGGGGCGCTGGAGGAGAGTGAGGCCTTGGGGCGAGTGGATGGGGTGCCCAGAAGAGTCTGCCTCAGAGGCAGGTGGCACAGAGGGGCTCAAGAAAGGAGGTAGGCGCCGTTGAGAGCCTTCAGAGAGTCAATCTATCGCCAAGGGAGGCCGCAGTAACCATGCCGACCCAAGGGCGCCAGAGGAGCCTTGGGGAAACGTGGAGTGGATGCACAGGCCTTGGCCAGCCTCAGATGCAGTGAAGGGTCTGGGTGTAAGGCGGATTGGTCCCCGGCTAAGCTTGAAAGCAGAGGGGATGTGGAGGGCAGAGGCGCCAGAGGTTTGTCCCACTTTGGGGGGCAAGCAGGAGGCTAGGCATAGTGGGGATAAAGGGTAAGACTCCAGATCCTTTTGTTCACCAGACCCCCACCCCCCAGCTTCTAAGGGAGGTTGGGACCAGGGGGCGTCTCCTCTGGCTGAGCTCTCTCCTTGCTTTAGTACTGAGAGAGAGAAGGCAGAGAGAGGCAACAGGGAGAGAGACAGAGACAGTGACACACAGCTTAGGGGAAAAGATGAGGGAGGATGAGGGGACAGAGAGAGAGGAAAAGAGACAGGGAAAGTAAGAAGAAAGAAGGGAAGAGGAAAGGAGAGTGGAGAGTGAGCAAAGAAAGGACAGGAGAGAGAAGGGAGAAGACTGAAGAGAGAAGAAAGGAAAAAGACAGGAATAGGAGGGAAACCAGAGGAGAGGGTAGAAGGCCGGGTGGGCACCAAGGCCCTGGCCGGGATGAGCACCCGGGAGGGGTTTGGCCTGGGATTTTTGAGGCCAACACTCGTCCCCCCAGGTCAGAACCGGAGAGAGCCAAGTTACTCCTCGGTGAACGCGCAGGGCAGAGAAATATGTAAATCAGGGCTCCCTGCGTCCAGGAGAGTGTCGCAATTACGCCCCACGAACAAGAAGCAACAAGCTCCCAGCGGGTGAGCTGCGGAGGGTGGCGGTGTCGCGGGGGAGGGAGCGGCTGCATTAAGGGGGGTGGGGTTGGGAACCTCACACCCTCACACCTAGTCCCTAGCTTCTAGGGAGCCCTGCGCTGGGGCTCCCCCCTCCGCTCGCTGCTTCTCTCCCTTCCCCCTTCCTCCCCCTCCTCCCCCTCCTTCCTCCTCCCTGCCGGCCTCGGTCCGCGTACTTAAAGCGGCGCAGGCGGGCGGGCGCGGGCGGGCGGCCCGGTCGGGCGGTGGCAGATGCGCCCAGCGGTGGCGGCCGCCAGCGGCGCGCAGGTGACCGGCCTGAGGCGCAGACTGGTCAGGGGGCGCCCCGGGAGAGCTGGCAGGAGAGGGAGGCCGATCCGCCCCCAGCGCGCGCGCGTCTCGGCGCCAGGAGCCGTCCCGGGGCGTGTTGGCGAGCGCTGATATAGATATAAGGACATTTCTCTTCATGGCGTCACGTGACATAATTACCACCAGAATCAATCAAGATGAATTGCACGTCAGCGCCCGGTGGGGATTTTTGCTTAGTTGATCCTGGCCCAAGCCTCTTGTGCAATCGATGGCTCAGGTTGGCTGCGCGGGGAGCGGCCCGGGGCTCGCCGGCGCGCACGCCGCGGAGCCATGAACGACTTTGACGAGTGCGGCCCGAGCGCAGCCAGCATGTACCTGCCGGGCTGCGCCTACTATGTGGCCCCGTCTGACTTCGCTAGCAAGCCTTCGTTCCTTTCCCAACCGTCGTCCTGCCAGATGACTTTCCCCTACTCTTCCAACCTGGCGCCGCACGTCCAGCCCGTGCGCGAAGTGGCCTTCCGCGACTACGGCCTGGAGCGCGCCAAGTGGCCATACCGCGGCGGCGGCGGCAGCAGTGCTGCTGGGGGCGGCGGCGGCGGCGGGGGCGGCCACGGCGGGGGCGGCGGCGGCGCCGGGGGCTACGCTCCCTACTACGCGGCCGCGGCGGCTGCAGCTGCAGCGGCCGCAGCGGCCGAGGAGGCAGCCATGCAGCGCGAGCTGCTCCCTCCCGCGGGCCGCCGGCCGGACGTGCTCTTCAAAGCGCCTGAGCCGGTGTGCGCTGCGCCCGGGCCGCCGCACGGCCCCGCGGGTGCCGCTTCCAACTTCTACAGCGCGGTGGGCCGCAATGGCATCCTGCCGCAGGGATTCGACCAGTTCTACGAGGCGGCGCCTGGGCCCCCGTTCGCCGGGCCGCAGCCCCCGCCGCCGCCCGCGCCGCCACAGCCCGAGGGCGCTGCCGACAAGGGCGACCCCAAGACCGGGGCTGGCGGGGGCAGTCCCTGCGCTAAGGCGACCCCCGGGTCGGAGCCCAAGGGGGCAGCGGAAGGAGGCGGTGGCGACGGCGAGGGCCCCCCGGGGGAGGCAGGGGCCGAGAAGAACAGCGGCACAGGTAGGCACCGGGCACTGGGCGAGCGGCTGGGCCCAGGGGCTGAGGGTACAGGGGGGGCTGAGGGGGCCTCCCTCTGCTTGCGCCGTTTTATGTGCTACTTTATAAGCATTCGAAGGGGTTTATACATCCTATAAGATTTCCCGGGCCGTTGTAAAGCGTGTTTATGGTAGGAAACCAATTTAGGTGGGCTTAAGGTAGACTTTCGAAGAAGACATTAATCGCTGCAGAGAGCCTTTCTCCAGTTTTGGGAAGGGGGTGCTAGAGACCTTGGAGGGAGGGAGGGAGATTTCGAACCAGTTTGTGTGTGCGGACACCCGAGCCTCCTGCTTTTAAGGGAGAGAGGCGGGGGTGTGGGGGGGGGAGTTTGATCCTTGCACTGGACTTTATCCAAGCCGCTGGCTGACGCGCGCCGCTGGAGTCTAGCAGATGCCCCAGGCGGGTGCGCTCGTGTCTCCCCTTGGGTTTCAGTTCAGAGCTTGCCTGGCCCTCTGCTTCCACACCTCAGTGCCAGGCTGGTTTTGTGTGTAGGGGGTGTGAGAGTGTGTGTGTGTCCGGGCGTGAACACAGGTCCACGCCCGCACTCTCTCCTGTGCCCGCCCATATATCATCCCCCACGACGCAGGCAGAGCCTTTCAGCTGTGGCAGGGGACGCCCCCAACGGGGCCAGAGCCTGGCCCTAGCTCAGTGACCGGGCCTGGCGGGTGGGGCTGGCAGGCAGCAGCCTCTCTCACCCCTTGCTCTGTTTGACTTGCAGTGGCCCCCCAGCGGTCCCGAAAGAAGCGCTGTCCCTACACCAAGTACCAGATCCGCGAACTGGAACGCGAGTTTTTCTTTAACGTGTACATAAACAAAGAAAAAAGACTACAACTCTCTCGGATGCTCAACCTCACTGACCGGCAAGTCAAAATCTGGTTCCAGAATCGCAGGATGAAAGAAAAGAAACTGAACAGAGACCGTCTGCAGTATTTCACTGGAAACCCCTTATTTTGAGAGCTCCAGGAAGCGCCCCCTTCCCCGAGCCCCACTCACCCACCATCCTCCCCACCAGCCTGCCCTCTGCAGGTCCAATGTCCTTGGGTTTAATGACGCCTCTTCTCTGTGGAACTTCACCATTTCTTCCCACGGTCAACTCGGGACCTCCCAGCGACCACTGCAGCCTGCGGACGAGGCCGAGGACTTGGCCGAGCGGATCCTAATAAGGGGAAAATGGTAAATGCAAACGTCCCTTTACAATTTTACCGCCAATGTGCTGTTGTTCCCCCTCCCCCTCTCGGAGTCCTAGTGGGGACGCGGCGGGATCTGTAGGGAGTTAGGCCGCGGGGCTAGAAGGCGCTGGTGTTTTGTTCTGAGTTTAAGAGATTCCCTTCTTTCCACTTCCGTGAACGCAGATTATTTAAACTCTGGGAAATGTACCTTTGGTCTGTCATATCAAGGCATGAGTCACTGTCTTTTTTGTGTGAATAAATGGTTTCTAGTAAAATGGAGGTCACAGCTTCAATACACTGTATGGATTCTCCTCTTCCAAGTTTAGTGTCTGATTAGGATATTTTAGTGGCCAGAATCCTCTCCTCCATGCAACTGAAAATCTGAGTGAAATACTTTTAATCCCACTAAAATAGGAATTGTTCCCTCCTACGCCCTGTAGGCTACACTGGTTTTAAAATTAGGTTAGTGATGAATTTCTGAATTGATGATGTGACCCAACCATCCTGGTATTGCCTTCTCCAGGCAATGATGTTGGGGCAACAGAAAACTAAGAAGCAAATCCCCACCCCCACCCCTAGTCTAGTGAACTTGCAATTTCTGAAAGGACAAAACCCATTTTCTTTTTTAAAAAACTGTTTAGAAAATCCAATTCTCTCTTAATGAGGCGACAAGAAGACAGGTCCCTTAAAAGTCGAAACGGAAAATAGGACTATCCATTGGAAAGGGGGAAAAAAGTTTGTTAAAAGAAAAGTATCAGTGGGTGGTGAGGGCCTGGGGTCCTTGCTGGTGTCATAGTGGGATGGAAGCAGGGAACTTACGGCCCCCCCAACACAAACACACATTAGAATAGGGCTAGGGGCTGCAGACCTGCTTCTCACTGCATTTATCGCTTCAAGTTAAAGAATGTGGTGAGAGCTGCACTGCACTTTATGTTGCAGGGCCAGGCCAGGCTGTTTACAAAACCTTGAACTGTCTAGACAACACCATAAAAGCCAAAGTTCTAAACAGCTTAATTGGGTTATATTATACACCTTCTGGTGGGCCCAAAAGAGATTTCCGCAATGTGCAATAAACTGGAGAAGTGAGAAAAGCTTCTCTTTCTCTGAAAAGAGTTAAGTGAATCTTATGACTCTTAACCTCTCATAAGCCCAAAGTCAAAATGTAAGTCCATAAATGCACAGCACCCCATGCATCTTTCCAAGAGTTATGCATTTTGAAATGCAATTTTTAAAAATTGCTAAGGCTTCTTTAGAGAAGGAAAAAAATAACTGCATAAGTGTATGCCTTTGAACTTCCAAAATGTCAAGGTCATCACCTTTAACCTTTCTGAATAATTAGGCGCCTTAAGGTTCTTCTGTGATTTTCAACTGCCACCCACTCTCATATATACATGCTCACACACATCCAGACTCACACACACATTTACGACCACACAGAGTCATATCAGGAGCTCACCATAAATCTAAGAAAATTCCCAATTTCAGGATCAATAACCTTAATTTCCCTGCAAATATTTGTGTAATGCAATAACAATTGACTTCTTTTTTTAAAATGCTAGTTAGATTAAAATGCCTACTAGCATGTTTTTGCTACAGATAGGAAATGCTGAGGATTTGGGGGGCGGGGGTAGCAGTCCCCTTTGCTCTAATGAAGAACCACAGTTTTAAAAGGATGTATTTGAAGGAGGAAGTTCTGTGCAGACTTACACCTTCATTATATTTGGAAGCAATTTGCCACCTTATCCCATAAATTATTGCACTTTCTATGATATGAAATAAAAGGAAATATATTTATATTGTTTCTAAAAGCATCCCTCAACCTTTGGGGAAAGATGCACTAGAAACAAAACCTACAATCGAAAAATTTCGTTAAGAAGGGGATTCCTTTGTTTGGAATTCTGAGCATCGATTAAAATGTCAGTGCCCCAAGTATGATCGTTCCAGGAGCTTAAAACTGGTTTATTTATTTCTTTTTCCATCTATATATATATTTTTAACTGCGTCTAAATGTTGCAAGCTTGTGTGCCCACCACAGTACGCAAGCCGAACCCGAGAGATACCATTTCCCATTTGCAGGGGCCTGGAGATCCACACGAGGGCGCGCTCACGTTCCAGAAGCCGAGTTTGACCCAGAGGCAGCGGTACCTTATCTTTCCAATACTGGATTCTAATAGGCGATCTCCGCCTGTTAGAAACAGGCGGCAGCTAAGGTGTTTGCTGTTTGTTTGTTCTAAGCAACCACGAGGTGTGAGAAGTTGTATAGAGACAGAGAAAAGGGAGCCACCAGATTCATGAAACAGGAGATGACCTAATTGTTGTCTCCTTAAAGATAAAGCTGTTTGCAAAGAATACCTTGGTATAACCTGATGGTGTTGAGAAGAGAGTTTTAAAAGACAAATATATGCGTTTTTAAATATGTCATGGTCACTGCGCGTTAATTAAATTAGGGAGAATAAATTTTCTTGTTGGTTTGAGAGTGGAAAACGTGGTTGAGGGTAGAACCTCCGTCCCCCTCCCCCCAAAAACCGCGTCCGTCTAGAGCTCTCAGACAGCCTGAGATGATTAAAAGGCTTTTGTTTAAAACAGATCAGGGCGCCGGCAACTTAGCTGAATGTGGTCTTAAAAAAACTGAGACTTATCAGAGACTGAGAGGAATCTTTCTAGGCTAGAGAGCCCCTGGGCCGCGCCTGGCTTGCCGGGCTACCGGTGGCGACCGTGAGGCGCGGGCAGGAAGGACTATGAGTTGGGGCGCCAGGGCCAGGCTGGGCTGATGTGGCCATGGGAAGCAGCAGGATCTCCCGGAAACGTTTATACTTCAAGGCGCTGTGGAATGGGGGATGTATTTGAAGCAAACGGGCTTTGCGTTTGACGGAACCTGGCCGCCCTTCCAAGTTGCCCGCTGGTTTTGAGGTGCGGAGTTTGATTCTGGCATCAGCTCTCAGAAGCAGTTTATTCGTTGCATGCCCTCCACGCCTCAGCAAAGCCCCTGACATTGGAGAGCTCCTGTGCCCCGGTCCGCGGTTCAAAAGGGAGGTGACAGGACTCCAGGACATGGGCTGCTCTGAGGGAGGATGGCTGCCCCTTCCCCCCTCCTCCCCGAAGTTCATTGTGAAGAGCCTGCAGACCTCAGAATTAGCGCCGGCCTCCTGGACTTGCTGTCTCCCGCTCTCCAAACCCTGGTCCAAAGGCCGTAGGGGGTTGCTCGCCTGCTCACCCCTTCGTCCCTTCGTCCCCTCGTCCCCTCGCCCGCCGGGCTGGCCGCCCGCCTCCAGGAGCTGGCATCTGCTTTTGCGCAGAGGCTGGGGCGCCATGAGCCCCCGGCGAGGCGCCAGAGAGAGACTCTGGTGATCCCCGCGGGTATCCCCGGCTCCGCTTGTCTGGCCACGGGTCCAGCTTAGCTACAGTGAAGTGACCTTTCCCGGGGCTGAACCGGAGCCTCAGTCTACTTAGGGTGAGAACTCCTCTTCCCAAATGTCGTTGCGTTCCTCCCTAGGCGGCCCCAGCGGCGGCGCATCTGGCTGTGTCGGGGCCCCTTGGCCTTGGCTGGCAGTCGCTGGCGACCCACGGCTGCTCAGCGGTCTGCAGTTCTTTCCTCCCGGCAGCGCCCAAGATATACCAGACAAGGGATAGGGGATCGGAAGAGGACCTCTGGGAACTGATGACATGCCCCCACCCCAGACACACTGTTCAGAGCGTTTGGAGCTTGGGGAGGGTGGCCTGGGATCCTGTGGCGCGGCGCCGCCGGCGCCGAAGTCTCAGACTCTGAAGTGGAGGGAAAATGCTCGAAGTAGCAGTCTTTTGTGTCTGTACAGACAGAGGCTCTCTGGCCGCCGGCCCTTTTGCACGTCTCCGTAGACCCCTTATCATGTTTCTGGTAGCCTCCACATTTCCCTCCTCGATTTCTTTTCGCCTTGGCCGGGTGGTGCACAGTGTAACCCGGAGGAGTGCCCTAGGGAGGCAGCTTTTAATTTGTTCCCGTTTATTCTGCCCCAAATAGTGACACAGCCCTGAGGTGTCTTAGGGTCCTAATCCAGGGTGACCCTAGAAGCCCTCAGGCCCAAGACCTCAGCTTATCTTCCCAGAAACAAGAGTGCAGATGCAAGCCACTTTTTTTTATATTACAAATGCTATTTTCTTGCTAAAGCGACCCTTTTGATTTTTCTCTGAAAAGAACTGTGCCAGGGAGAAGGGTGTCTTGGTACAAACATGGGTATTCATCTCCTTTATGGTGCAATATTGATTTATTATTAATGGTAACTGCTCCAACTGATCTAAAGATGATCGAAAACAGCAGCTACATTAAATACTCATAAGCGAAGTAAAGGCTGGCCTTTAGAGCCACCACCTTTTCATTCTATTTGTTTCATCTCAGCCTTAGGGTCTTAGGCACCCTTTCCATCCTCTGGGGCTCAGATCATTGTTTTGCATTATTTCTATCTTGCTCAATTTTTTATGATAATATCTCTCAAATTATTGGCAGTCTCTGGCCTCAAAAGGCAGATTTGAAGGCAAAAATTTGAAAGAGAAAAAAATATAATTTGTGAGAACAGATTTGAAATTATATCTGATATGCACACTTTTTTTTCTGTGAATGAATAATTCCTATTTAAAACCTAGTCCAACAGGGGGGTGACTTTGAGCTCAAAGCCACTGAGAGCTGAAATGAAAAGGCCTCCAAATTCAGAAGGCACATCCTGCATGTCCTGGCTCACTGCAGACATACCTGCGGCAAGGAATTGCTTGTCTTTAGGCTGCATGTTTTCTTCATGTATAAATAAAGATTATAAAAGGGCATTTGATGGGCATAAAATTCTTGATTAGATTGAACAGTGTTGCCTCACTTGGGATAGCGAAAATTGGGCAAATGAGCTCCGGGCAGTTTTCCTGGCTGCAAGGCAAAGGGAAGACACTGCTGGAGCACCAAGCTGACTTTAGGACGCCTGCCGCAAGCGAGCGCAGCGGGCACTTTGTACGACCCTGGGAATGCCCAGCCGTGGCTTAGTACAATATGTCCACAATGTGAGAAAGCAAATTTCAGAGCACTGATCAGTGGCTGTTAGCCTTAAAGAAGACCTTAGAAGCCTAGAGTTAAAAGCTAGGTTTTTTTTTTTTCCCTGCCTTCCTCAACCCCCACCCACAAGCTTAAAAACTGCCACCTCTGTGGAAAGGTAATGTTTAAACCTTGGGCTACGCTGGGATGCGGCAGCCAAAGCAGTTAGAGGCGCCAGGCTTTTAACCTGACAATGATGTTGTATTTGAACAGCTGCGTAAAGGTTTAAAAGGTCTGTCTCATTGCCACCGTGGAGTTTTTTAAAAGGGGTTATTGTTTGGGCGAGGGCACTGAGAGAGGACAAGCGAAGGGGTCCCAAGGCTGAAAATAGTGTTCAATGACTGTTTCCACCAGGCCAGGGGAGATTTCTTTTGGGGAAGGGGGACAAAGGGTTTGTTTCAAAATGTTTCTGTGAAGGAGCAGGCAGGCTACTAGGACCCCCAGAATGCTGAGGCAATTTAATGAGCATCAGGCTCCCAAAGAAAAATGTTCTGCTGAGGCGGAAACCCGATTTGCCCACAAGTTCAGTCTCTGGGCCTGAAATCCAAGGCCAGTCCATGCCCACGCGATTGTGGGGAAAAGAGAACAACAGATACCTTCCCCAGACTGAAAACTGGTTCACGGTCAGGGTTTCTGGGGCTGTTTTACTTTTTTGGCTGGCAGGAAGGGGACCCAGATGGCCGAAGGATGGCTCCTGAGCCCTGGCCAGCCCCTCGCCCAGGGCAGGTCTTTGGAAATCAAGGTTAAAGCTCCCTGCTGCTGTCCTGAGGACTGGGCTTCCGCAGGGCGGCTCACCCGCCTGCAACCAGAGAAGGAGGGAGGAAGTTGTTGAAGTTTCTCGTAAAACTCTGAGTTTCCATGGTGGTGGCGGTGGTTCTTTAATGAGCTGGACCACAACCCCAGACCATATCCTCTTTATAGAACGGTCCACTCACCAAAGGAAACAGAGGACTAAGATTCTCCCACCTCCTTCCTCTCCCTTACCCAAACAAAACTTTGTCAAATAATTTTAGGAATTGTCCAAAACTATAAAACTCAACTTCTGACAAAAGAATAGCTTTTAATATTTGACAATTTGTGTTAAAACAAAAATTGACCTCTTTGGTTAGTAGTGAAGGGGAAAAATCAATAGTATAATTTTCAATAATTCATAAAGCGAACGCCATTATGCTAAATCTTAACTATTAATCTTATCCTTTACAAAGTCTCGATTGATTTGTTAATAAAATATCTTCCCGTGTGTAGCAACAACGGGTATAACTCTTTAAAAACCTTCAGAAGCAAGAAAATTACCAAGTAGCCCAAGAATGTAGATGAGAATTTTATTGATCGCCCTGATTCTTCTTAATATGTATTAATAAATCCCACAACCTTTTGTACCTTGCACTTGTCAGAAACCAATGCTTTTACAAAATCCATAAAAGGAAAACATATTTTTTTTGCAGAAGAACCAAATGACATCTTTGCTTTTCTCTCTCTCTTGCTTGGCCCAGTCAGTTTTCTAAAACTTCTGGAGTCTGAGGGTCAGAGTTTTCCCCTTTTCTTTAAATTTTTTTCTTTATTTCTTCCTTCCTTCCTTCCTCTCTGCCCTCTTATTAGCAGGGTGTGTGGGCAAAAGAGGAAAACCTCGGTTTAGTTCACCCGATGGAGCCGAAGGGACGCTTTGGCAGATAGTGCGTGGCTGGCGAAAGATTGTCTCTGGGCTGAAAGCTCCCAGCGGAGCGCGGCCCCGCAGAGGTCTGGGTGTGGTTCCATTGAGAGCCGAAGGCTCACGTTGCCCGCCGGGGAGCGGAGGGTCCGGGAGCCAAGGCAGGAGGGCCTAAGGACAGGACAACGCCCAGACCGGCCAGTCCTCGGGATCCGGGCCGGCCAGCTGCTTGGCCTCTCGGTCCTCACGACCCTTTTCTCCTCCGCTCCCCAGGACACCTTGGCCGCCTCTTTGCACAAGGGATCTTTCCTTTGGACTCTTAGGGTGGGATGTCTTAGGGCCCGCCGAATCCGACTCACCTTCCCTGGCTGCCCGGGACTAAATTAACCATCCTTCGCCCCCACCCTCTGTCCTGGACCCGGCCCGCTTGGACGCGTTCTGCCTGGGTGTGTGCTGGGGGATGCTTCTGTGTGCTGGCGCCGGGGCACTATGGCTTTTCTCCCCATCCGTGCGTGTCCACCAAGAGGCCCCTCAGGCCGAGCCTTTCCTTCCGCTGGCGGGGCCCAGTGGCCAGGGCAGGGGACCCGAGTGGGTGGGCGGGCCGAGCAAGCCCGGGGAAAGCGGGCAGGCAAGCGGCGGAGAGCGCTGGGCCGGTTGTCTCCAGCGCGCACTATCACGGGCGCGTAGTAGATGTCGCTGTTGTCCGTGCTTACGCGGCCGGCCGGCCGAGCTCTGGAGCACGTGACCTGCGAGGAGGCTGCGGCTCAAGGCCATTTTCAAATCTCATTGGCTTGGTTGTCATGTGGTCGGCAGAGGCATCCACAATTACACGGGGAATGTTTTCCTAGAGATGTCAGCCTACAAAGGACACAATCTCTCTTCTTCAAATTCCTCCCCAAAATGTCCTTTCCCAACAGCTCTCCTGCTGCTAATACTTTTTTAGTAGATTCCTTGATCAGTGCCTGCAGGAGTGACAGTTTTTATTCGAGCAGCGCCAGCATGTACATGCCACCACCTAGCGCAGACATGGGGACCTATGGAATGCAAACCTGTGGACTGCTCCCGTCTCTGGCCAAAAGAGAAGTGAACCACCAAAATATGGGTATGAATGTGCATCCTTATATACCTCAAGTAGACAGTTGGACAGACCCGAACAGATCTTGTCGAATAGAGCAACCTGTTACACAGCAAGTCCCCACTTGCTCCTTCACCACCAACATTAAGGAAGAATCCAATTGCTGCATGTATTCTGATAAGCGCAACAAACTCATTTCGGCCGAGGTCCCTTCGTACCAGAGGCTGGTCCCTGAGTCCTGTCCCGTTGAGAACCCCGAGGTTCCCGTCCCTGGATATTTTAGACTGAGTCAGACCTACGCCACCGGGAAAACCCAAGAGTACAATAACAGCCCCGAAGGCAGCTCCACTGTCATGCTCCAGCTCAACCCTCGTGGCGCGGCCAAGCCGCAGCTCTCGGCTGCCCAGCTGCAGATGGAAAAGAAGATGAACGAGCCCGCCAGCGGCCAGGAGCCCACCAAAGTCTCCCAGGTGGAGAGCCCCGAGGCTAAAGGTGGCCTTCCCGAAGAGAGGAGCTGCCTGGCTGAGGTCTCCGTGTCCAGTCCAGAAGTACAGGAGAAGGAAAGCAAAGGTCGGTATGAGCAGAGTTGCCACCCCAGCGGGGCGCGCAGCCCGGGAACCCGGCAGAGAGGGAGCGCCAGGGTGCCCAGCGCCCAGCCGAGGCAAGCGCCCGACTTGGCAGGTGCTGCTCCGCCTGGTTTTTGGAGGGGCGATCTCAGCCCTGAGATAGTCCCCGCTTCTCCCCCATCGCCCTGGCCCTCCCCGCCAGTCCTGGCCCCACGCTGATGGCGCCCGGGCAGAGGAAAGGCTTGCTGGGTTTATTTTTCCTGAGCTAGACCTGAAACACAACAAAAGAGCGCAAAGGAGACCCGCGGCTCGTAAACACGACCCCAGAGCCTCCTTTCTCTGGCTCAGATTTGCATTCCCAGTTTTGCCTTGTGCCCAAGTGATCATTTTAAGGAGGTCCAAGGCACCGTGTTCGTGTTCAAGTGTATGCACCCCGCATCCTGCGAGCTTGGGGGCAGTGAGGGGAAAGATGGTCGAGATGGTTGGGCTGGTTGTGCTTTGGTTGGGAACAGGGCTTCCTGCCTTTGCGGGGCTAGGTAACCTTGGCTTTGTCTAGGGAAAGTGCCGCAGGCTTTGCATTCCGACTGTAAAGAGGGCAAAGGCGGAGGGGGGAGAATGGAACCCACATTGCCCACTCCGCAGGACCAGCCTTAGGGCTGGGCTAGGGCAAAGAGTAAAGGATCTGGCTTTTTGAGAAAGTACCATATCCCTGCTACTTCCCCAGTGTCCAGAGATGGGCCACAATAGGGGCTACCTTTCTGGGGAAATGCTTTTGTGTGGGAGCAGGAAGGCAGAATTATTCAGGAAATTCTAGGGAATGCAACAATACCCAGGCAGGGTAGAGAAGGTGTTCTCCCTTCCTCATTTATCTTTTGAAAGAGAATGGGCATCTATAAACCTGGCTGTGGGGCTCCCTGCCTGCCTAGGAGAGGTGAGGAAGAAGCGATGGACTTAGGAACCTGAGGCAGCAGTGGGATTGGTAGGTTTGTCCAGCCTGTGGCTTATTCCACTCCAGCCCTGTTAGGAGCTGACCACTTAAAATGTTTCTGGGGATATCCTGAAAAGTTTACTATTGTACTAATGTTTTGTGCTAGTCGAAGTAGAGAGAGAGAACCTTGATGCCCAGTGTTCTCCCATCATGTCATTTAGCTGCAATCTGGCCTCAATTTAAAATCTCTTCCAGGGCCCACCTCGTGTGAGTAATGTTTAATACTAGCATTTTCCAAAGCGGCCTGGATACCAGCAGGGTCATGGCCAAGGGTACTTTTGAACAGACTGAGAGAAAAAAAAATATCTTGATTTTTTTTTCTTCTTCTCCCTTTAATTTTGTTAGAGGAAATCAAGTCTGATACTCCAACCAGCAATTGGCTCACTGCAAAGAGTGGCAGAAAGAAGAGGTGCCCTTACACTAAGCACCAAACGCTGGAATTAGAAAAAGAGTTCTTGTTCAATATGTACCTCACCCGCGAGCGCCGCCTAGAGATCAGTAAGAGCGTTAACCTCACCGACAGGCAGGTCAAGATTTGGTTTCAAAACCGCCGAATGAAACTCAAGAAGATGAGCCGAGAGAACCGGATCCGAGAACTGACCGCCAACCTCACGTTTTCTTAGGTCCGAAGCCGGTCGGAGGCCAGAATCGGAGAGGGGGCACCGCGTTCCAGGGCCGAGTGCTGGAGGACTGGGAAGGCGGAAACAAAACCTTCATCGCTCTTTGTTTTTTGTTTTGTTTTGTTTTCCTGCTAGAATGTGACTTTGGGGTCATTCTGTTCGTGCTGCAAGTGATCTGTAATCCCTATGAGTATATATATATTAAAAAATTTAGCACGTGTAATTTATTATTTTTTCATCGTAATGCAGGGTAACTATTAACTGCGCATTTTCATTTGGGTCTTAACTTATTGGAACTGTAGAGCATCCATCCATCTATCCAGCAATGTGACTTTTTCATGTCTTTCCTAACACAAAATGTCTGTGTGTGTGGTTAGCCCATGAACTCATGGCATTTTGAATACATCCAGTACTTTCAAAATGACATATATATTTAAAAAAGATTAAGAAAACCCACAAGCTTGGGGGGGAGGGGGATTTAAAAAGCACATTACAATGTATCTTTTCACAAATAAGCTTAGCAATTGTCCTTGGTGAGATGGAATATTGACGACTTATGCCTTGTAGCCTTTCCCTTGTGGTGCATCTGTGGTTTGGTAGAAGTACAACAGCAACCTGTCCTTTCTGTGCATGTTCTGGTAGCATGTATAATGCAATAAACTCTGGAAACGAGTTCGCTCCCTCTGCTTTCTGAAATGGAAATATGTTATGGTGAAAATGAAAGCCTTTGGTGAGATTATCTTCTGCTTAAACTGCCTGTTTGGGGCACTTGGGTGGAGGAGCGATAGACAGTAGAGGAAGGGATATGGGAGGCAAAAAAGCTGGAAGAGGCCTATGGTGCTGATATTTGGCACTGGTGTTGGGAGAGGAGTGATAAGCTAGCCTGGGAGCACAGTTTTCATAACTGGGAAAAAGGGGAATCTCCTCTCTCTTCCCCCAACCCACAATGATAGTAACAATTGCACCCTCAATGGGTGTGAGCTTCCCTCTAGCCCAAGCCTGGTAAGTAAGCCTATGCCCCAAGCCGTTTTTACCTTGAAGCTCCCCATTTTGTGTGTTTTCTCCTCTTTGGTTTTAGTTGTGTTATTTTTAATGCTTTCAGTGGAATCTTGGTGATTTCTGGCTGTCAAGCAATCATCAGGGGCTAGGTTGAAACTAGTCTTGCCCACCTGGAAGCTGCCGGCCTCCATTCAGGAGCAAGGACAAGCAGCAGTTTAGCATTGCATCGGATCCACTTCTGCCCCCCTTTCCCTCATCCCCACCCCCATCCCAAGCACAAGACAGCCAGACCCCAGAGAAGCCGAGGATGGGTAAGTTTTCCCATTCCACTTTGCCTTCGTTTCCTGTGGAAGGGTTTTATACTTAGTCATTACGTTTTAGTGGTCCGCATGAAAATTTTTTAAAGGAAGAAATGAAAAGATCTCCCCAGTCAATCCTCCCTCTATATAATTACAAAATGCTGGTTAAGCTGCTGTATCTGAGATGCAAGAAAATGCAAAAATGGTGACTGAAAATTTTGCAAATGAACATGACTTCCCATGAAGTCCAATGTTCCATCTGCATCCACTGGCTCAGGGAAACTCCCACCAGCTTTCATCGGCTTTTGCAGTATCCCCATCTGAAAGCCCAGATTTATCTAGTTCTGCCAGAGAAAAGAGAGAGAGGCCTTGGGGGGAAGAGCTGACAGAATTCGTGGCCCCGGTCCTGCCTGCAGTTTCAAAGGATCTGCAATAGCTTGAAGCAGTTACACAAAACATGTCTTGCCATTTTTTCCTTGTTTCTTCCCCTAACAACAATCTATTTGGGCACTGTAAGCCTGAGAGCCTTCATCCAGGGAGTCTTTGGGACAGTCAGTATTTATTCAGAATTTAACACTTCCTCCTGAAAACCAGGAATATTCCTGAGTTCCAAGAGAGAGTCCTTTAGGGGGCTGTTTCCTGTGGGTAGGAAAGAGAGAGATCGGAATCAGTGCTAGATTGGAAACACTAAAATAGGTTTGCCCCAGACTTACACTAGTTGGGTAGGAGGAGGGTATTTTTAACTTAGCCATTTCTCCAGGCATAAGGAGCGCCATTAGTTGTTGATAGGGGGTCTAGTCTCGGAGGGAAAACTGCTACAGGCAAAGGCAGCCCCTCTGGAACAAAATCAGAAGACCATTGGCAAAGGCAATCAATCAGGCCATAAGTAGCCATGTACCCCCTTCTTTCCCAGGGCTAGAGGTGGGCTGGGAGCCCTCCAAGGGTGAGCTGGGCAACTTGTAGAGCGAGGAATATGCCCTCGGCCACCGGCGCCCTGACCGCTTTTGTCTCGGCTCCCAGCCGAGCTTCCGAGGCTTTGTACCATGGATTTGGGAGTGACATTGGGCATTTTCCTCAGATTCAAGGCTGCCCAGCCTTACCTCTGGAGAAAAAAAAAAAAATCAGAAAGGAGTGGCCCAAGGACCTGGCCATTCGGCCGGACTTTTTAGACATCTCCGGAGTCCACCTGGAGGCCTCTCAGTGCGAGTCGCGCGAAGCGGCCCTGCCCGGGGAGCCGCGGTTCCTGCTGGCCTCATCGAGGCAGCGCTGGGGTGGCGGGCTGGAGCTGGCCCTTGCTGGCATTTGGGTTCTGCCCTGTGGCGTGTTCTCTTCCAGGACCTCTCCAGCAGCCCTGCAGAAGAGGAGGCACCCTGGCCACCACTGTCCGTGCGGTACCGAGTCGCCCTCCCGCCCGCCGGCCTTTGCGAGGGCAGAGAAGCCCCTCCGTGGCCGCCGCCGCCGCCGCCTCCGGCCCGCGAGCCACGCTGCCCAGCTCGCCCGTCGGCGGCCGGCGTGTGCCCAGCCTCACGTCGGGGGTGTGTGCGGCCGCGCGGGCGTGTGCGAATGTGGTAGGGGGAGGGGGCCCTCCGAGCTGCTCCATCCGTCCGTTTTATTAGGGACACATTAATCTATAATCAAATACACCTCATAAAATTTTTATTGAAAGGCATAATATCATTACAGAGGTCTTCCACCTGTTTTAAACAACACGACAAGCTGTGAGAGAGCGTGTGTGTGGGTATGTGGGGAGGGGTGGTTCGGGTTGGGCGCGAGGCAGGGGAGAGCAGCTCCCCTCGGGCACGGGGCTGCCCCCAAGGCCCGCCTGCCTCGGCGACACCGGGCCTTGCTGGGCCGGCTCCTCCTGCGTCCAGCCTCGCGGCCCCTGGCTGGAGCCCAGGAGCTGAGGAGCCGGAGCCCGGGTCCCGACTGCAGGACCGCGGGCGGCAAGACGAGGCGGACAAATAGTCCCCAGCGCCTCCTCCGGCCGCGAGCGCGTCTGCGGTCGCAGCCGCCGCACGGCGGGCCCGGCCGGGCCAGGACGAGGTGGGCTCGTGGACCTGGCCCTGCGGGCTCTAATTGCGGCGCTTATGTTGATGATGATTTTTTTTTTAAATCACAGCAGCCCCCAGTTTAGCGGACTGATTTACTCCCGGTATTGGTAAATATGATCACGTGGGCCGCGCGACCAATGGTGGAGGCTGCAGCCTGCGAACTAGTCGGCGGCTCGGGCGCCGGCGGGGAGCGGCTCGGCGGCGGGCAGTGTAACCTTGGGTGGGAGCGCGCGGCGCCTCAAAATGTCCTCCAGTGGCACCCTCAGCAACTACTACGTGGACTCGCTCATAGGCCATGAGGGCGACGAGGTGTTCGCGGCGCGCTTCGGGCCGCCGGGGCCAGGCGCGCAGGGCCGGCCTGCAGGTGTGGCCGAGAGCCCGGCCGCCGCCGCCGCCGAGTTTGCCTCGTGTAGTTTTGCCCCCAAATCGGCCGTGTTCTCCGCCTCGTGGTCCGCGGTGCCCGCCCAGCCCCCGGCGGCGGCGGCGATGAGCGGCCTCTACCACCCGTACGTGCCCCCGCCGCCCCTGGCCGCCTCCGCCTCCGAGCCCGGCCGCTACGTGCGCTCCTGGATGGAGCCGCTGCCCGGCTTCCCCGGCGGCGCGGGCGGCAGCGGTGGCGGCGGCGGCGGTCCCGGCCCTGGTCCCAGCCCTGGCCCTGGCGGCCCAGCCAACGGGCGCCACTACGGGATTAAGCCTGAAACCCGAGCGGTCCCGGCCCCCGCCGCCGCCACCGCTGCCTCCACCTCCTCCTCCTCCACTTCCTTGTCCTCCTCCTCCAAACGGACTGAGTGCTCCGCGGCCCGAGAGTCCCAGGGGAGCAGCGGCTCCGAGTTCTCCTGCAACTCGTTCTTGCGGGACAAGGCGGAAGCGGCAGCTGGGGGAACCGGGCCCGGGACGGGGATCGGGGCCGGGGCCGGGGCTGGGGCCGGGGCCGGGCCCGGAGCCGGGCCCGGGGCGGGCGGCTCGTCGGAGCCCTCCGCTTGCAGCGACCACACAAGCCCGGGTTGCCCGCTGAAGGAGGAGGAGAAGCAGCAGCCGCAGCCGCAGCAGCAGCAGCAGCAACTTGACCCAAGTAAGTGCAAAAGAAATTGCTCCCTGATTTATTGCTGAAACCTGTAAGGCTCGAATGTGCAAAACTGATAGTTTTACTAACCTATAAAAACGTCTAGACGCCTACCCAAGCCTAGGCGAGCAACACGCATCCATAAAAAAGCTTCCCATAACCACCTACCCTGGGCGCGCGGTTTGTACGGTAAACAGAGCGCGGGCATTAAGGCTTTTTATGATAATTCCCCCCAAGTTGTGAAAAGCGGCCATCCTTGGTGAAATTAATTTAACGACCTCTCTTCCCCACCCTGTCGTCTCTCCCTGCCTCCCCTCCGCCCCTCGCTCCCCTTCTCTAAACCCCCCTTTTGTAGACAACCCCGCAGCGAACTGGATCCACGCTCGCTCCACCCGGAAAAAGCGCTGTCCCTACACCAAATACCAGACGCTAGAGCTGGAGAAGGAATTTCTCTTCAACATGTACCTCACCCGGGACCGGCGCTACGAGGTGGCCAGGATTCTGAACCTCACAGAGAGACAGGTCAAAATCTGGTTCCAGAACCGTAGGATGAAAATGAAAAAGATGAGCAAGGAGAAATGTCCCAAAGGAGACTGATCCGGCGCGGGGCCGGCGAGAGCGCCCGAAGGCAGCGGTTTTGTTTTTTCTTTGCGGGTGCTTGATTTCCAGAAACTCTCCAGCGACTCGGATTTTTTATTTTTATTTTTTTTTTTAGGTAGAAGTGACTGTGTGGTTGGTCTCTGTGAGGTATTTGGGGGAAAATGTATTTGCTCGCTTATGTGTCAGAGAAATCAAGTGGCTTTGGGGTTTCACACCCTATCCAACTCCCTGTTTCCTGCTCCGTTGGTTCCTTAGGAAATGCTGTATTTTGTGAGTGCACGCTGGCTTGAGGAGCCCTCTCGTGTAAATGTTCCCCATGTTTCTGAAAAGTGCTGTAGTTTAGTCCCCCAGCGCTGCCCAAACAGGGGCCCAGCGCACACCCCAATTCCAATAATGAAGGCAGAGCCACAGTGCGGACACCCGGGATGCTAGCTCACCCAGAAGCCCAGCGGGGTTGCCCACTGGTTGCGAAAGCCCCCTTTCCTCAGGGAGCCCTCGAGACCTCAGAGTGAGGCCTAGAGAGAAGCCCGGGGCCTTGTGTGGGTCGGGGGTTTGTTCTCAGTGCAGTGGATGAGCTGCTCTGTCCCCGGGAGGGCTGGGCTGGCGTGGGCGGCCGCCGCGGGTGGTGGATTTCCCGGTTCCTGTCCGAGGACCAGTTGTAAATGTTACCGCTTCTTACCAATAAATGCTGACCTGATCAAATGGAGCCCAGACGCTGACCCTGAACGTTGTGTGCCTGCTTTTTCTGCCTCTCTGCAAAATACCACCCTCCAGAGACTTCGTCCCCATCCTGGGAAGGGAGACACCGCTAAAAATCCAGGGCCCTTACACCTGACAGATTTCGCTGAAGTACCTTTGAGCTTCCCTTTGTGTGTGCAGACCCGGCCAAGAGCCCTAGAGCGCAGCCCTTGGGGGGCTTAGGTGCTTCTCCAGGCTTAGTTTCAGCGCCTCCGAGAACTCTGTGCCCTCGGCTCAGTGTCAGTCTCACAGTAGCACCCAGCAGAGCTGGCAGGCCCCAGGAGCCAGGCCCCCTTCGGCTTGGGCTTTGACACACTGGGCTCATGGAGCCCCAGAGGCCAACTCCCCTCTCCAAACAAGGGAAAGGCCGACTCTAGACTCCTGAGAAACTCCCCAGCTCTCCCGGGCTGGCTGGCTGGCTCCAGGAGGTCCAAGCTGGTCAGGCTGTGAGCTTCCGCCCCTCCCCACCAGAAAGCCCCAAAGTGACCTTAGCGATCAAAATGGTCAAGGCTCTCTTTCCCAGCCACCCCCATCCCACCGCCTCTTTCACCCCCACCCAGCTTCTGTGTATGTTTAGCCCCTTGCTTGGCCCTCTGAGGGCCGCATTCAGAGGCTAAAATGAAGGTCATTGTAAGTGAGGGTTCGGCCGGGCACGGCCTTTACTAGCCGAAGAGGCGGCGGTGGCGCCGGGCGGCTGGTTTGGGCGGAAGGTGGGGGCGGTGGCAGAGATCTTGGGGATCCTGATGAAAGAGGGGACTGGAAGAAAAAGCAGAGGGGGGCTGGGAGGGAAATCCAAGGCCCAGATCCGGCAGAAGGTGCTGTGTACCCCCGCCCCTGCAGCCAGCCTGATACCTAGGGCTCTTTGAAAACAGGAAGAGCCAAGGTGTCATAAAGCCATCGAGCTGGCGAGACGTCTGGAGGTAATGAGTTTACGACAGGCCCGGCGCTTCGCTTTGAAACCATCTCATTTTGATGTTTGTGTTTGTGGGAGGAAAGGAAAAATGCAGACAAAACTGGGTCTTAAAATCTGGACAATAAAATATAAACAAGACTGCGTTGGACCAAGAAGGCAGGGGCTTAGGAGCCCCTGGGTGAGGTGTGAGCACCTAGGAAATAAACAGGAGAGGTAGGAAGGAAGATGTGATGTACTTTTGATTTCTTAAATGGGCAGGGTATTCGAATTAGCATAAAGCGGGTGTATTTTTATAAATATTTTGAGTATGACCACAGTCACTGTAGCTGGTTCTTAAAAAAAAAAAAATCAGCTTGTTATTTGGGAGTGGGAAGGCTAGTGATCTTGGGTCTTTTACCCAGCAGCGACTTTCCCAGAAGCCTGGCCAGCGGGAAAAGATGAAGTTAGACTTCTTTTCACAAAAATATTTTGTCCTTCACTGCAAACTTTGAAGCAAAAATATTGTTGCAATTTATGTCTATTCACTTACAAAAATTACAGTGTTACACCTAAACTGTAGGAACGCATTTTTGAAAACGAGGAAAAAAGGATTACCCTCACAGGAAACACTTAAGCCAATTAGTCTTTGCTTTTTAAAAAACCGTTTAGTGGAATGCTTCATCAATTCAGCTCAGCCTGCGACTTGTGATATAAATTTTTAAAATCCCATTTATTGCCCCTAGAAATTCAAACGAACACAAGTCTAACAGGGACTTTCCAGACAGCCACTCAGAGATCCAGCAAAGAGCTTTTGATTTGGCTTCGATTGCCCCCAAAATTGCCCGGCCAAATGGGCCCAAAGCATTAAAATTACAAAGATAAAATAGCAAATATTCATGATTTAACGCTGAGTAATATCTTTAAAAGAAAAAAAAATGTTTGACTTCTATACTTTCTTAGTTGCTGAAGTGCTTCATTCCTCTGTGGGGTAAAAGAGCCTCTTGGCAGTTGATATTTAGAAAGTTGTGATTTTTATGGAAATTCAGCCTGTCCCATAATTGTTTTAAAAGGCACAGCTGGGCGATTACAGCATGGGGACCTACGGAGTCTGGCAAAAGAAGGGCTAGAATTTTTTGGAAAAGGCACTACTGAAAGCTCTTGGGAGCACAAATGAGAATATTCAGGAGCTCCTGTTTGCTGCACTTGACTTGTTGACAGTCACAGGGATGAAGCATTATTAGTGTTAGGGGTCCAAGCCCCAGTCAAACTAAAGAAGAGCTTAGAATTGGTTTGAGACGAATAAAAAAGGACGTGGTATTTAGCCACTAGAGGGCGCTGTTGCTCTACTTTCTGATTTAGTAAAGCGAGTTGCGGAGGAAGGTTTTGATTAAAAATATTTACAATCTTACTTTTAATCCCAAATTAGGATAAATATAACCAAAAATAAACAATATGCACTATTAAATTCTACAGCAATATTTTTTGGGCATAACATTTTGGCCCAGTCAGGACTTCAGAAAATTTGGACTATGGCACAGCAGAAACTATAAAGCAATACGGTAATGTAATGCATTCTATCAAAACAGAAACCTGTAAACGCATAGCAATTATTTACGACGTTAATTGTGCTCTTTTTCTATTCATATTATAAACAGAATGCTTAAATAAATTTAAAAAACTGTTTTGTCCCAAGAGAAAATTTTGTGCTATAATATTTTCTAAACTAGGCCTGAATGTGTAAAAAATGAATTTCATATTGTTTATGTTTCTTTTTTCCTTCCAGGAATCTTACAGTTCTAGAAGGTGCCTTGTATTGTTGAGGTCCAGGCTGTCCTATTTTTTCCCCATTCCACTCCAAAACCCACTCATTTATTGAGGGTTTTAACACGCACATGCACACACTCTAAACAGAAATAAAAGAGCACAATTACAAAGTTGGCTCCAAAGCTTTATTGAAAATAATAATCTCTTAATTGAGTATTTGAGAGATTGAAGTACAAATACTTAACTGTCAGAATCAGTTCATTTGCCCTGAGACTTAAAGGAAGCTACCTGGCGATAACCGGCAAGGAAAAAAAAACAAAACGCGAAAACAAACAAAAAATTAACCTTCCACCAACCCCGCAAAAACAGTCTTCTGAACTCTCTGCTAATTTAAAAAGTAAATAAAGCATGCCTTTATCATATCAAGATTCATTGACAATCCATTTACCTTAACCATTTCCAGCCATTCCCTGTAGAAATAACTGAGTCAGGCATTATTATCTTGCTATGTCTGTCCATCCCGACCTCATTTTCTGAATCATTTCTGAAATGATATTCAGTCCACGGGAACCGACCTCAGGATCATGCTCACCGGCTGGGCCAACCCACAAGGAGTGAGGGGGGTAGTTGAAATCACTGGCCTGCAGCGTCTTTGAGACCAGGCTTTGAGTCTGGGGTTTTTAGAACTTTGCATTTGGTGTAGAAAGCCGGCATGGTGTGTTTACGCTTAAGCCCGAGCATCCTCGGTGGGCTCCAGGCGTGTCTTCCAGGCCTGTTCGCAGGGCCCGTGGGTCTGACGCCCTCAGGACACTGAAGGATCCCCAAGGAAAGGGGGCTCAGTCGCCCAAACAGCCCAAGAAGGCCAGGTAGACGAGGGGGAAAAAACACAACAGAGACAGACCTATTACGTTTATTGGACATTGAAAAGGGAGAAGAGCGAAAAAGAAAGAAAAGTGTGGGGAGGTGCATGGCGGTGTGTAGCCAAGCAGCTTTGGACAGAGTTTCTAAAAGGACTATTTTGCCATTTGGGCTGCTTTTCTTCTTCATTGCTCACAAACTACGCTGAGCCTCCTCTCTCGCTTTTTTTTTTTTTTTTGGTGGAAAAATTAGTAACATTGAGGCCCGAATCTGTTTTTAAGGCAGTTATTTCGCAGGCTTGGCGGATGAACTAGAATCGTTAGCAGAAGACCGGGGCCGCCTGCCTGCAGCTGCCTGGATCCGGCAAGAGCTGAACGCCGACCTGGAGGCCCCGCGGGGAGGGCTCGCGGGCGTGGGCCCCCCGCGCGGCGCCCGGGGCCACAGCCTGCCCTGGTCTGCTGGGTGCCGGCTGGGGCCCTGGAGCCCAGCGTCCTGCCCGAGGAAATGCCACCCACCCCAGCGTGAGTCCTTTTCCCCCCTCAGAACATTTGTTTGCTCTTCTAGTTACTCCTTGAGCAATGCTAACCCCCCCACACACACATTCTTCAGCCTCCCCCCCAGTCTGGTGCTGACGTCTATCAAGGTTGAAATGATGGAAACTATATTCATGGGCATGATTTCCATTAAATATCAATTAACCTGGGAGCCTCTGCCAGGCATGCAGTGCGTCAAGGGTAAATGTACATCTCATTTCCACCAGGCAGGCTCGGCTGGAAAAGAAGGGCTTTGATGACGCTAGGCTTTGGGGCCATGCTTGTGGCCTTGAATCAAACCGCTTATGCCCAGACTCAAATGCACGGTCCAGGTCGTCAACACCTCTTTCCATGTTCTATGGTCTGCACCCGCGTGTCCAGAGATGCACAAGCCATGGCCAATCTATGCTGGGCTGCTCCGGGGGCTCGGTGAGGGAGTCATTTGCTCCGCAGCCTCCTGGGAGTGGCTTCTCTGCCTCCCCCAAGTCTAAGGTTCTGCCGCGCCCCCGCCCCGCCAGCTATGACCCGCATTCCTCGGCCCGGGGCACCACGAGCCCTTGGCAGTGCGGCTTTATGGGCCCCCTTTAAGACCCGCGGAGGCATCTCCAGCCCGGCGTGAGGCGTCTCTCAGGGAGCACCAACTTGCCTCTGCGCGGATCCCTCCGCGCGGTTATCTCGCCGCGATCACGCTGCCGCTGCTTGCGGCGGCGGGGTGCGAAAATGCCTCGCCGGCGCGCACCGGGTCTGCAGCCTCGGCGGCGGGGGCGAGAGCGGTGGGAGGGGGCCGCGGGGGGGGCGAGGTGAGAGGTGGCAACAGACAGAGGGTGCTTTTTTTTTCTTTCCCCCCAGAGCAGGGGTTTGTAAACCGAAGCCAAAGAGTGTCCCCGTGGGACGCGCGCACTTTTTTCTTGTCCCGGTGCGCTCAGGCCCTCCTGGTGCCTGAGAGGAAACAGTGGAGGCAGCGGGGCAGGTCACCCGGGCGTCGGCGATTATATTGCGGCCGAGCCGGGGCGCGCCGGGAAAGGCCGGGAGGGCGGCGGCGCGGGGGCTGGGCGAGGCCCCGCGAGCCGCGAGGGAGGCGGTGCGAGGCCCAGGCGGCGGGCGCAGGAGCTGGGCATGAGCGCCCAGTAGCTGAGCGCCCGCGGCTGCCCGGCCTCAGAAGCGACGCGCGCGCGGGCGGGCGGCAGCAGCGACGTGGCCTGGCGGCCCCCGGCGGCGCGAACGGCCGCCCCAGCGGCCCCCGCGGCAGTGCGGCTGAGGCGAGGCGCGCTCCCTGTCTGCTCCGCGCCGCCTGCCCGCTCGGGGCCGTCGCCGCCGCCCGGATGAGTTCGTACTTCGTGAACCCGCTGTACTCCAAGTACAAGGCGGCGGCTGCGGCGGCGGCGGCAGCGGCGGCGGCAGGCGAGGCCATCAATCCCACTTACTACGACTGTCACTTCGCGCCCGAGGTCGGCGGCCGCCACGCCGCCGCCCTGCAGCTCTATGGCAACAGCGCCGCCGGCTTCCCGCACGCGCCCCCGCAGGCGCACGCGCACCCGCACTCGTCCCCGCAGCCCTCGGGGCCGGGGTGCGGCGGTGGGGGCGGCCCGAGCCCCGGCCTGGGCCAGGACTATTTCCACCCCGGCGGGGGCAGCCCGGCCGCTGCCTACCAGGCCGCCCCCCCTCCTCCTCCGCAGCCTCCGCCTCCGCCGCCTCCCCCCTGCGGCAGGATTGCCTGTCACGGGGAGCCCGCGAAGTTTTACGGATACGATAACTTACAGAGACAGCCGATTTTTACGACCCAGCAAGAGGCCGAGCTGGTACAATATCCTGACTGTAAATCGTCCAGTGGTAATATTGGCGAGGACCCAGACCACTTAAATCAGAGCTCGTCTCCTTCTCAAATGTTTCCCTGGATGAGACCACAAGGTTGGGATGCATTTTTTTTTTTAAGAGGGGAGAGGGGGAGAAATCTGCTTTCATCTCACGTTCTAGCTTTAAAACTCCCCTTTCCTCTCCCTCTCCCCCTCCTTTTCCTTCTTGTGCAGCCACAGTGGCTCTTATTCATAAAGTAATACAGACTTTTTTTTAAAAGTGGAAACCATGTAAAGATAATGGGGACAGAATGATTGTGAAGACCTTCTCTCTGCCCCTCTTTCCTGCACACTCTATATATATCGGAGCTAAAGAACGCTGTGCGTATTTCACCCCTTAGGCCCCTGTTCCACAAACCGCCAGCAACATGCAGAGACACCCTTACATTTTTAAAACGTTTATCGCCCCCCCCTTTTTTGTTTGTTTTAATCAGCAGCTCCTGGTAGACGAAGAGGAAGACAAACCTACAGTCGATTCCAAACCCTAGAGCTGGAAAAGGAATTCCTTTTTAACCCTTATCTGACCAGGAAAAGAAGAATCGAGGTTTCTCACGCTCTAGCCCTCACGGAGAGACAGGTAAAAATCTGGTTCCAGAACAGGAGAATGAAATGGAAAAAGGAGAACAACAAGGACAAATTTCCCGTTTCCCGGCAGGAGGTGAAGGATGGGGAAACCAAAAAGGAAGCCCAAGACCTGGAGGAAGACAGAGCCGAAGGCCCGACAAATTAACTTCTTCATTTAAAGTTTTGCCACAGACTATTAAAACTAATGATCAACATATGATGGTGGACACCACATATTTTCTTTTTTGGAAAGGACTCTACCTGTATTTCAAGCTACCTTCATGTCACTGCTCTTGAGGTTTCTGCGCTTTAAGGGATTTGGGTGTTAAAAAACAGTTCTAGTATCGCATAGAAGCAGTCCTTGAACTGTCCTATGAAAGGGTAATTTGATGCTGACCTTGTAGCTATATTTTTATAATGGTTTTAAATGTCTGAACTGGTGATTTGCCTCAACAACGTAAACTTCCTAATGATTAGCACTAAATAATTGAAATGCTTTATTAATCAAGTGCACTTGAATATTTTAAATCTTTTCTTTACGGTGAGTAAATTAAAAGAAGTCTATTAATTTTTTTAAAAAGTATGGCTGCAGAATATTTACTTTATATTATTTGATTAAAATGTATTATTTATGTTTTTTTCTTTCTGCTTTTATAATGAATGGTTAGGGTGCCTTTTGTTTACTCCTAAATAGTGTATTTAAGTATTTTCTAAATGTAATATCTGGGGGTGGGGGAAGAAGCCTGGGCCAAATATTTGAAAAGCACATGTTAGCTGAAGAGTGTAATGTGTAGTTGCCACTCTGCAGCTTCCTTAAACTTCAAGAAAAGATAAGGCCAGTGAAACTCTCAAGACAATGTCAAAGTTGACATTTAATCATTTTTCTATAGTCCATACCAATTATGGCAATTAAATAATCTAGAGTGCATGAATACTTGAAAAACCAATTATAACATTTTCACTCATTAACTTTTCACTCCGGCAAGTCGTCTTGTGGAATGAGTCTCATTTCCCAACTTGCTTTCGTTTTGAACCGCGCTTGTAATCGCCTGAAATCGCTAGGTCTCTTTGCCGTGGCTGCCGTCATTGTGATTCCGTTTTTTCGGTAGTTGCCATATTTATTTGTATTCCTTTCGCTGTGTTCGCAAGCTCGTTTTCAGCCAACTTGCTGTGCGCATCTCAGATGTCGGTTGGGTTGGTACGTCCTCTGCTGTTTTTTGGGATAGCGATAGCCTCACCTATTTGAAACAAGCCCTGAGAGCAAACGCAGAAAAATCTGAGTGTAAACAACCGCTCCAAAACATAGCTAGCTCCTTAATAAAGAAATGAATCTCTTTCTAGAGCTAGTGTCTTTGAGCGCCGAAAATACCCTTTCGCCTCAGTCACTAACAATCGCCTGGGCTCAGGGGAGAAGGCAAGGACTCTGGCCCAAGGCTTCTGTTTGGTGAGAAAGGGGTGGGGTTACACGCAGCCCGGGCGGTTAAAAAAAAATTGCCACAGGGGCCCCCTCTCATTCCTGAGAGGGCTGACTAGGCTATCCTTGCTTCATCTTGCTCTACATAATCTTGCTGAGATACTGTGAAAGCTTTGAACCTCGCAAAGGACTCCAGTTGTAGGTCCAGTGGGAAATGACCCAGAGTCCAGGTTACACCACAGCTTATTCCACTGAGCCCCGGTTGATGCTGGGGTTTGGCATCTATTATTAACAAGATATCCATTTTCCATTCCAGGCGGCTCCTGCAGCTGCCATTTTACCGGGGAAGGGAGGAAGAAGGGAAGAGGGAGAAAAGAGGAGAAATTCCAGTTAAGTAAAATTTATCCCTGAAAAAGGGAAAATATCTTTATTGGGTAGACATTGAAGAGCTCTCTGCTTTTTCTAGGTACAGTTATTTTTAAAAGGGCACATTTTAATTTCCAAGAATGGCTTTAAGAAAATGGAATCCTATAGTTTTCAGCCAGGGTTACCCCTGCAGGTGCTGGCGGGCTGTTTGCCGCCTCATGGACCTCAGAAATGTTGGCACGGGCTGGGTCAGAAGGGAAGCACCGCCTGGCTTTCCACCCTAGGAAGAAGCCATGGCTGTGACATTCGCTGACCTGAGCCAGGAAAGACAATTTTAAGTCACAGGTGGCCAGGCAGGACTTAAACATTTGCACTCCAGGAGACAGCTGCAGATGCACGTGCTGAATATGGGAACATTTTTGCTCTGTGCACTGCCTGAGATTCTGCTGTGAGCTGGTAAACAGCAAGGATGTAAAGGGCCCAGAGCATGGCTAGGGAACACCCTACAGTGTAAACCGTCAAAAGACCAGTGCTAGCTAAATTCCAGCTGCCCTTGATTTAAGGGACTCCTGTATATTCGAAAAAGTATCTCCTGCTCAAGGGTGCTTCCCTTATAACCCTTTTACAGTCCTTTCAGTGGTTTTGACAAGACTGTCAGGTGAAGGACCTAGTGCATGGCGGGTGTGGAAATCAGGAAGGGAGGGGAGGTAAAAATGTCATTTCCTCAGCGTACTGTGCTGGTCTGGAAGTGGTGTGCCCCATTCATTCCCCCCCTAAACCATGGTAAAATCGTAGTTCATCTACAAAGACTCTGTTGCAATTACTGGTATATTTGAGAATATGAATTTCTGTATATACATAAATTACACACAGAAAGTGTTCATTATAAATGTAGGTATATATCTTTCCTTTTGTAGCTGGGAAAGACTATAGATTTGTCTTCAAATAAATACCTTGGGGAATTAACACATCACACATTGGCCACCTTTTTCTTACACTGACTAGACATTCCCATCCCCATCATGATGTTTCATGCAGACAGACTGGTAGTGACTTGCGCAGGAGATGCCCTTCTAATTGGCTCAAATCTGTCAACATCCAAGTGCAGAGACAACGAGTAAACATTTTTTGCTGCAGAAATTTGCATAAGCCCTTAAAGAATGCTTTGCAAACCCAGGCAGAGCTTTTTGGCTCTGTACTGCAGCAGTCTGCCTAGAAGGCTCTGTAAACCATTTAGAGAAAAATAGGATTCTCCAATGTTAACATTGAATGTGAAAGACCAAGACTTAGGAGAGATTTTGGCTCTCTGGTTGCAAGAACCAGAAACACACAAAAGAGAGTGTGGGTCTCAATGGTTTCTAGAGAAAAGTCAGTTCAAACATGCCATTTTGTGAGGTTCCATAAGGCCCAGTACATCACTTACCTTTGCACAAGGAGAAAAAATGCAAATATGGCTGCCTTTTCAGAGCAAAGAGTTTCTTCCCAGCCCTCATTCCTCAAGCTGAAAAGGAGGGTCATAAAGTTTCACTTTTATTTGGGTAGACAGGGAAAGGACAATGAAGCAAATTGGCTATTGAGATTATTTCTCAGAAAATTTTGGAATTGAACAAACTCTTGGCTCAGTTCCATGTGTATATACCAGTAAAGTCTTCTGGGCTTGGGAGGGCCCAACAACTTGCCATATTTGCTTGTTCATTTTAAAATATTGTTTTATTCTTCAATGCAGAAGGTATTGCTATTTCACATGCAAGCCTCTTGTGTCGTGTCCTCTGCTTCACCAGTGTTTGCTGAATCCTTGGGCATCTGGGAGTGCACAGGGGAAGGAAGAGAACATTTCAACGGACTCTGGCTGCTGCTATGGTTACTTCCATCAAAGTTAGGGCCAACTGGCTTTTTCTGGAAAGAAAATGACTTTTGCTGACAGATGGCAGTAGCAGTCCTTTAATCAACAACATTCAAGGTCATCAGAACTTTTTCAAGGTGTACAAATGTCCTGCCCCAGAGGGTGCTGTACCATTGTCTGCTGAAGTCCGCATCTACATAGCTACTTACTGGGTATGAAGATGTTAATAGCAGAGAACTTATACACAGATATCTGATGCAAATGCTTATAAACATATTACTGGAAGTCTAAAGACTGTTTGAAAGGACTGGGGAGTGAGGAGGGTACTTGTTTCAAACAGGCTCTGAAGCTGGGATGGCCATGCCCATGAGGGGAATGCTGGAGGCCAGCCAAAGACATTTACTGTCAGGGGGAAATCACCAGAGCAGCTCCTATGAGAAATACAAAGGGAATGTGAAGTCTGCTTTTGAGGAAAAATAATTTTATACCCTAGGCTGATCTGGGGACATCACTCTTTTCCTAAACAAATGAAACCCTTCTCTTCAGTATTGCATTGAGCAGGCTTTTCAATAGACGAACATGGAGTGAGGGGGAGGAGGCGAGACGGAACTAGAATTAAATTCCATAAAAATGAGAATTGGTCTTAGAGGGGGACCTAAAGCTATGGGTTTTAGAAGGGATCCAGAATGTTGCTTCTTCTCTAACCCAGACTGACCTGAGGATGTGTCTGTCTGTGGATATAAAGACGGAGGCAGTGGGCTCTCAAAATGATATTTTGGAGAGGTTGGCGAGTAGCTAAAACCATTTCCGGCTTTCGAGCTGGTTTGTGACTCTCCTACCACAGAAACTCCAGAAAATGGAAGGGACCCCAATTTATGTTGGAGCGGGATGGGGGAGGGGGAGCGCGCACGTTCTTGGCCTGCAGAGCCCAGGTTTTCTACTCAAGATCACTGGGGCTGGCTCATAGAGATGATAGGAGGAAAAACCGAAAGTGCTTGGCTGCCCTTCCGGACCCGACTTTTTGTGCGGGGAGAGGAGGAGAAGCCAAGTAAGTGACTGGCTTAGGGGAGAGATGGGGGAGGAGGTGGAGCTGCGAGATTGTCTCCCAGCGCTTGAGCGGTACACCACACTCATTCTCCCTAGTTCACAGGGAGAACTGCGTAGAGGTTTCGGGCCAAACCAAAAAAAAAAAAAAACCACACCAAATAATTCCTAGAAAAAAGAGAGAGAGAGAAGATAGACGAGAGAGAGAGAGAGAGAGAGAGAGAGAGAGAGAGAGAGAGGAGAGGAGGGAGGAAGGGGGCGAGGGAGTGGGAAAGGGAGGAGGGGGAGAGAGGAAGAGAAAGAGAAAGGAGGAGAGGAGAGGGGAGAGAGAAAGAGAGGAAAAAACATGGCGCTTGCGAGCTGTATGTGCAAAATCCGCAAGGAATTGCAGTAAATTCCTTTTTGTTTGAAGAAAATTTACAACTTGGTAATAGACCTTTTTATGACCTATTTGCGGTCGTCATTGGCTGCGGCTGGTCATGTGCAGGCGCCGCTCGCCTTCACGGCCTTTTTCCTGATTTCCCAGGCGAATTTCCCCCCGCATTCTGCTTTCCCAGAGCCTCACCCCCTCTTTTTCTAACCTTTGTCTCTGCAGAGGTGGGCTCCAGTCGGCGGCTGCGGGATTGCGGAGTCCGCGGCGGCCTGGGCTCCCGCCCGGCGTCCGACCTGGCCCCACCGCCGCGCACTCGGTCCGCACCGCTGCCACCTCCGGAGCTGGTGGGGAGCCCGGCGGGGAGCCGGGAAGGAGCCCTGGGCGCCGAGCCCCCCGCCGGCGCGACGCCGCCTGCCAGGAACAGCCGGCCTTTTCGGCGGGATGGCAGCCGCGCGGTTCCGAGGCGGTTCCTTCTCCCACATGAGCGGGTTCCTGCCGCCTAGAGTGCGCGCAGCCGGGCAGCGCCTAATGGATTACAGCAGCCGCCCAGGCCGACCGCCGCCTCCAGCTCAGCAGCCTCCGGGTAAGAGTCGCCCCCTCCCCGCGCCCCAGCACTGCCACCAAGAAGCTCCGCGCCGACCCCCTTGGGCCTGTCTGCTCTCCTCCTTTTCTTGGGGACCTGAGGGTTACTGTCTGCGTCCCCTTCCCCTTAATCACTCCATCCCTAGGGGATCCCCTAGGACCCAGGGTTGGGTCCGGTTGGGCTTGGAAGTCCAAGGGGGAAGCTACATTTCCTCCAGAGATTCTGAGAGGTGGGTAGACACAGACAGGATCCCAGTGCCTAGATGGAGAGCTCCTTATTCCCACCCTGGGAAAGGTGTGTGTACTATTTCTGGACATTTCAGCTTTGCAGAGGGTCGCTAAAGGCACCCTGTAGTATAGAGCAGTGGTTTTTGCGGTTTATCTGTGGTCAGGGTTACCTGGGAAGCTAACAGGTGTTTTTTGAGGGTTGGGTTTGGGGCTTGGGTGGGGGTGGGGTGGAATCTGTGTTCCCAGGATATGCTTGGTGTTTGAATCTAGGCTTTGAGGAGTGATGCTTACTAATTTCTAAGGCTAATGGTATATTGGGCCTTGTGTATGAGATGAAATTTTAAATATTTATAAATGTTTCTCTAGTTCCTAGAGAATTTTTAAAACAACTCATGATAGGTTCCTCCCACGTTTGATAATCTGTCAGGTTAATTTGCATTACCTTATGTCACAAAATGAATCCATATTTTAGGAGGTAATAGCAATCGGGGAAAACCTAATAGATACTTCAAAAATTAGAAGCATCTCTAAGTTCAGACTCCCGCGTCTCTTATCTGCCAGAGTAGAAAGAGAGTAGATTTTTTGTTCTCTAAATGTATTCTTTTTTGGCCACCAATAAATATTACATAGCAACATTTTTCCTTCGACTTCAAAACTACTGAACCGAAACATCATGCATAAAAGAAAACCTTTTGCAGAAAAAGAAAGCTATTTTCTCTCATAGATTTTGAGCAGCAGTTGAGGATACAGTTTGCAAATTCTGTTGCCTATTCTTTCCTGAACACGCTGGGAAATATTAAAACCTTTGGACAATCTGCCGCATTGCGTATAAAACTGACCTGCGCATGGCAGTGTATGCTCCCTAAAGCATGTAGTGGCAAATTCTAATTTATTGTTCCCTCAAATATTCCAATGTAACAATGTTAGCCGTAAAAACATTTATGAACAATAAATGTCATATTTGTGAAAAGATATTTTTATCAATTAACGATGGAATCATGCTTGTTTCAAAATGGAGGTCCATGATTTGTGGCCCATTGACGTCTGCGGAATTGACCTGGATCACTAACTCCAAGCACTCGCAAATAAGAAACTTGAGTGATATTTTTTATTTGAAGTGTTTGTATTTTGTAACTATTGCTCTAGTACAGTATCCTAGCCGTTGAGATCATTCTTTGATACGGGTACAAAGCATTTCCTATTGAGAAGCAGGCCCTTGGACCACGCTTGTAGGCCCTGCCAGGGCAGCTCTAGAGCCGGAGGAGCCCCTAGGTCGGCTGGGACCAGGGTGGAGGTGGGGGGTGTGGGTGATAGTATGGCCCTGATGGCCAAGCCCTATTTCAGAGCTTCAGTTGCTTTTTCCTGGTTTCCGTGGCTCAGTGCGCTGGAGAAAGTAAGAACCTGGGCGGACTGCAGGTCCAATTACGCACGGGAGGGGGACGTATGTCATGGGTAGATGTGGAGGACTGAGGGGTTCTTTGTAAGCACCGTGGTAGCATTAAGAGCTTATTGGAACGAAATGGTCGATTGCCTGTAAGGGCATAAATAATCTGCAAATCACATTTGAATTCAGACCATTTAGTTCACAAGGAGAACTAGTTCGCGCGCTGTTGCCACTGACGGAAATGCCCCATTGTCTCTGTTAACCCAACAACAACAACAAAAGAAACGAAATAAAAACCGCTCGGACCCTAAGAGCTGAGAAGCCCAGAAATCTAAGTCCCAGCGTCCCCGACGCGAATCTCTTGTGCGTTTATGGATCTAGGAACCGATTCCTTGTCGGGCCTTGATGTCTATAGGTCAGGCTATGAGCTGGGCTTGCGATTTCTGTGAGGACCAGGAAAAAGAGTGAAGCTGGCTGTTACAAATGTAGTAAAGCACCAGGGCTGAAGACCAAGTGTGTTTTCCCATCAGATGTTCCTCCAAATAAATATATTTCGCCAGAGTTCTGTTTTCTGAGCCCGAGAGGCAGGGGAAATCGGAACAAAGACAGTATTTCACCCTGGGCTGGCAGGCAGCTGTTAGAGGTATTTACGGCCTTGCCGCAGTGCGGCGGCCAGGGCGGCCAGGCCGAGTGTGTGAGGGCACCGGAAGCTGGAGAGAAGCCACCAAGAACTCAGAATTTCAACTTAAATACCATTTAGGGTCACTTTTGCGGAGATGGTGTGAATAGATATCCATTCTAGGGACTGGACCCTTAGACTGGCTAGTATTGCAGAATGAGGGAATGGTTGTGCTCTCTGAGCGTTGGGTGGGTTTCCTAGGTGCTCTAGATGTGAAATTTCTGATCCAAATGATGATTTTGAGGGTGTTCACATTGGCAACGTAGAGATTCTGTTGGCTCGGAGGAACAGGGCTTGCAAATCAGAAAGGACAGTTGAGGCTTTTAATACAGGTTTCTCCCCAAAACGAAATGTTTCCTGCTTCTTTGAGATGGGGCTTCCAAGCTCCTCTGCAGCTAGGCGTGGGAGCACAGCTCAGTGCCCGCAGCGCCTGCCACGCACGCTTCCAGGGCGTCCCGCGCATGTGCAGTGAGACAGCCCAGCCCGGGGATTGGATTCGACTGGCAACGCAGGGGGTGGGGGAGGGTGGACTCAGAGCAGGCAGATACAACCTGATCTCTCCGTTACCCGGCCCCTCAAGATTCGCTGCTCATCTTTCCTTTATTTCAGCCTTCCCTCTAAATACAGCCGAACAGCTCTGCCCTCGACTGGATCTTTTCAATCATCTTGACTTGCCACCCAATCCCAATTTAACTCTGTTCGTTAGAAATAGGCTGCAAATACGAGCTAGGGACCAAAGGAAACAGAATGCTCTTTCCAGGTATATCAGGGAAGTGTAAGCATTTTCTCAGTCTGGTGCTTCAGCTTTGGGACAAGGCGTTTTCTCCTGGCGCCTGTTCAAACCGCCAAACTTGAGGCCAATCCTTCAGCCTGACCATTCCCGGATCTCGTTACGCCAGCGCGCAGCGCGCTCCAGGGCTGGGCTGGGAACCAGGGGGCAGCGGCTCAGCGGACAGCAGTCGAGTAAATAAATAAACAAACGGACAAACTGGAGGGATTTTCCGCCTGGGCTCGCCTAATTAATGGGGGACCCGCGCTTGCGGGCCACGAGCGTGTTGTCTGTGCTAGGGAGCGGGGTGGTGAGAAGCGGCCTCGGGGCCCTCCCGACTCCCTCCAGCCGCCCCAGGGGACACAGCAGGACAAGTCTCTGGTGCGGGGAGACCTCCGCCCGCCCGAGGAAGTCCCTGTCCTCAGCTTTCCGGGGCTGGCGTGATCTCCCCGCTCTGCTGTCTGGCGCCTTGTCCAGGAGGAGGCGCTGTAGGACAAGCGTCTCGCCGGCTGCGGCGGCGCCGCAGATGCTGTGGACGCGAGCAGGCAGGAGAGGACACGTGACCCGCTCTTCCTTCTCCCCGCACTCTACCTCAGCCCCCAAAGTGCGCTGGGTCTTGGACGAGGGTCGGTGGTGCTGCGCCCACCCTCAGTGGACCAGCGGCCGTCGCCTAGGCCAGGGAGCTTAATGGCCATTCTGGGTTGGCGGGCCACCACCTCGCTTTCTCCGCCCTCCAGAGGGGGCGCGATTTCTTCGCGCTGCGCTCCTAGGAGCAGGCAACTAGAATCCTGTGATGGGGCAAGCTGCCTCCAATCAGCGGGGTCCCGACCAGCCCCCTCCTGCTGGGATGCTGTTCCTGCCATTTACCCTGTCCTGGATTCCTGGTACCCAGAATGGGCAGCTTTGAAAAGTACAGTCTTTTGTGCATCCTCTAGTATGCTGACTGGACTTGCCCTTGCTGGAAACAGGGCCTGTGTCTTGGACTCCCTGGAGACTCTTAGAGCCCACGCAAATCCTACTTCCTGTGAGGTCTGAGAACTACCCAGTTGGGAATGTCTGTTCTCCACACTACCCGCACACCCTTCTACCACCACTTCGATCATTTCAGGCCCTCGGTGGGCTCCACGGGTCATTCCTTGCACTAGCCTTGACACCCAACTTCAACAACTGGCCCTGCCCCAATTCCACTGAGCCTGCATTATCTCCTGGCAATGCAGTCTTTTGTCTCCCTCCTCTCCTTACTCAAGGTCAATGATTCTCAGTGAAGGCCGGCATCGGAATTTCTTATTTATAATGCAAGTTTCTAGATCTCCTCCTAGACCTACTGCATTAGAATGTCCAACTATGGTACCCAGAGACCTGCATTTGGTAAGCACTCTTGCCCCACAAGGCAATTAGGATGCACATTTATGTTTGAGAACCACTGGTCAATGATCTCTCCTGCTTCTTGTATGGTTCTTTGTTCTCCAGAGGCCAAGTTCTCTCTTTGCCTCTATAGTCATCTCCCAGAGCTGGGCTCCATCTATAATTATGGTTTTTAAGGTCACTATTCTATAGGCTGAGTGATTTTTCCCATTTTAGGGAAGGGAACATGGATCCCTTACTTTTGGCTTGAAGATTTCAAAGAGAGCAGGTTCGATTTTCAAACTGTTTGGGGTTCAAAATTATACTCTACCATTTACCTGCTGTGTGACCTTGGGCAAGAACAGCAAACTCTCAAGGCCTATTTCTTCATTTGAAAAGTAGGGAGTATAAGAGTACCCTCAAAGCTTGTTATGAGAATTTTTACTTACACAGCACTACTATGTGTCAGGCATTATTCTAACCCCTTTACATAGTTTAACTCACTGGTTTTAAGTGTACCTAAACTAGTGTTTTGACATATGACAAGTGCTCAATATAATTATTATTATATTATTATAATTATCTCTTTTCTGATCAGCAATCAGACCTAGACTTTTAGAGCCAAAAGAGACCTGGTTCACTCACCAAATCTTTGAATTCTATGGAGGACAAACAGAGGCTTGGTCACCTAGGAGGTACCAGGAGAATATAGGCCTAGGACCTATCTTGTTGCTGTAGTGGGTCTCATGGGTCCTGGTCTCTTGGGCCTAAGTGTCTGGCACCTATATCTATCAGGGCTCACCTACATGGAAAGTGGCCCTAGGTCTTCAGTGGGCAGATGTCAGGTAGGAGAGGCCTGACACCACACAGGCACATCTTCTACCCCTACAGAGGGCTTCAAGTCTTTTCATAGAGCAGGCCCCACTGTCTACCTCCTGCAGTCACCTTCTCCATCACCACCCCTGTCTCCCTGTCAGTCACACCCATAGGGCTGGTTGTTCCTCTTGTTCTTGTATAGTGTCAGGATAAGGACCTTCTTCAGTGTCTTAAAATCTAGGCCAGGATGGGTAAGCCAAAGACCAGCGGGCAGCAGCAGAGGAAGGCAGAGAGTCCCACCCCCACTCATCCCTACCACTCCCCACCCCTTATTCTGTTTGTGCCCCAAGTTCCAGGCTCTGGGGCTGTAGCTGAGGCCCAGCCCCCAACTTGGGCCACAGTGATGCCAAGGTGTGTCTTAGAGAGGCCTTATCTCTTGAAATCTCCATCAGCCTTCTAATTGTTTGAAATTTTTTATATCTTTTATGCAGAGGCTACAACCACACATACACATATACCCTGCAACCAGGTTTCACCCCCATAGCTCTGGCTTCCATGACTTCTGCCTATGGGCCTTTTTCATGAGGGGTTCCATAGCTCTTGGGCAAGCTGCTTCTCTTGGCTGAACCAGGAGTCCTCCTGGATTGGATTCTCTCTCAAAACATACATACTTTCTTTGCTTCAAACCATGTCAGGTGGAGTTCTGCCCACAGCCTAGCCATCCCCTTTTGCTTTATCTCTCACTATTGACCTATTCCTCTGGGGTCACCTCTTCCTCCCAGAGGATGTCAAGCCAGAGCTCCAGCTCCAGTGAGTGACTCCATTGTCAGGGGGATGGAGGTGGAGAGAAATTGTCCCTTTCAGTGATATAGTGCCATAAGTATGGAGTCACATTTTCTCTTCTTGGGACTCCTTTCTTATCCTTCAGCCTATGTTCTTAAAGACCAGCCCTGGGCAGTTTCCTTTCTCCACCTGTCTCTGGCCATCCAAAGCTCCCCACCTATCTTGTCTGGTGTAAGAGGAGAGCTCCACCACCTTCAGGTAAGAAGCTTCTTAAGAACCAAACTAAAATATTCTTTCCTGGGGCCACATAGTAGGGGCCCTTATTCAGGGAAGAAGGCTGACCTCCATCACATTTGGAGTAGAGCTGCTGCCTCCTGGGACTCCTTTACTCTCTTCTCTTTCCTAGGAGCTGCTCTGGTTTCTGGATTGGGGGAGCCCTACAACATGCTTTGTCTTGTGGAAGCTTGCTAGGCAGGAATTCCTAGGACTGGCTCTTTTTAGCCAAATGGGGAGGAACAGTACCCAGAACCACACCTTACCCAGAAATTAACTACTTACAGGTTTTTAAGAAGGCTCAACCTCTCCTCCCCCACTACCTCTTCCATTCCTATCACCACTGTTGAAAATCCTTGGGAAACCCTCAACAAATTGGCACATTGTAGCTCTGCTCTTCCCATTCCTCAGCTTGTCTTCCCCATTCCTGCTCCCTTTCATCCACAAAAGCCCAAGAGGAGGGGAGGAGATAGGGGGAGGGGGTAGACAAGAGAAGATTATAGGAAGATGGACAAATACTCTTCTTAATCACTTTACCTGGGTATCCTAAGATTAGGAAATAAAGATGTCTGTCTCAATGTATTCCTTTCTTTCCTCCTGTCCCTTACTACTAGCTACTTTTTGTTATTGCCTAATTATATAGAGTAGGCTGTGTAATTTTATTTTCTTGTGTAAGCCACAGTGAAGGCTGCAAGCAAGTCTCAATCAGCATCCTTCATCACCATGCATTAAAAAAATATCTACTGAGCCCTGACTAGGAACCAGACACTGTTCCAAACACTGTTTCTCTTTAGCCTTTTTTTTTACTCCATTCCCATAAAATGCTCTTCAGAATTTCCTAGAAAGGCATATATCCTTTGATTAATTTCTTTATTAAATTATGGAAAAATAAAGAAAGTTCTTCTCAACGTCTCAAACTTTGATTTTTTTTGTACAGGGGATTAACAGGGATTAATTTCAAAGCTGGTCACCTAGTGCTAATGAAACAGAAACAGTGTTTTCAAGAGTTGATCTTTACAAATTTTTAAAAACAGATTCCACCAACTGTAAAAGAAAAATATCCTTCTAAGTGGCTAATGGAACAGAAAAGGAGAAATGGATGCCTATGATCCAGGCTAACAGCCCCCTGCTTTATACCTAATGAGAATCAAATCAGAAAATGGGTTTGGAAATACATGTAAAATAGGTGGAAATTACGATGAAAAAAGAGATCTTTGTACAGAAGGATCTCTTTTATGGGCTTGCTGGGACTTTCTGATGGGAACTGTTGCAACTGAATTTGATTTAGAAATCATGTGTGTGCACTCTACAAATCTATACAGAACATTCATTATTTTCATCAGATTTGTCAAAATCAAATGTTTTCACACTGGTGGCAATTCTGGCAGGGTATTAAAGGGTGCTGGGGGGGGTCTATTCTCTTTATTTACACCCCTCCATAAGAGCTAGGGGCATCTTCCCCTCCACCCCCCATTTCTCCACCCCCACCGCCACCCACACTCTACCTCCCCCAAGTAGAAAATGCTGCATTCTCCTATACAGCAGCCTCAGGCCCAAGCTCCTTTTCTTGGCTTTCTCAGCAGGATGGCGGGTATACTCCCTCCTCCTCTCTTAGGCTCTTCCTCTGGTGGGAGCAGCAGTGCTGGGGAGAGTGGAGCCCTCCTAAGGATCCCACCCAGGATTGGGCTCCCAAAGACCCCTGAGCCCTGAGCCCTGTGGTTGGGGGCACTGTGGGAGTGGGGACATCTGACTTCCTGGGCTTGGATTCCTTGAGAGCTTCATTTGCTTCCTCACACCCTGTTCCCTTCACACCAGGGCCGTTTTATTGTTTTATAACCTTCTTTAGAGCTTCAGTTGCCAAAGATTCCGATGGGGCTATTCTCTAGTTTCTCACTTTACCAAATCCTAAGTCTTGCTGTTTTAAGCAGTTTGGTCACTTGCAAAGTCTTCCCTTTCAAATCTAAGCAAATTATAGAAACCTCTAGGCATGTGGCTACTTTCAGCTTTCACCAAGCCTATCCACAACAATACAGAGGGAGCCAAGTGTTAATTCCAACTGCCACCTCCACCCTCAAGCCCACCCAGCCTTTCCCTAACCTTCCTCTATTGAAACTTGAACAAAATCTCAAATAACTTCTGGTATAAATAAGAAGTGGCCTTTGATGTTTTTCTTTATCACATCTAGAACTAGGAAATTATTGAAATAAAGGGGTTGATGGTACTCACAGCGAATGCAGCCACAGAATCATAAGACATGCCCACCAACCAGCCTTTTCCAAATAGCACTATCTCCCAACTTAAACAGCTTTCTCTGAAAAGATGCTATTGATATGCCCCGGTATTGATATGAATATGACCTCCTGCATCCTGGATATTTGGAAGTATTTAAATCTGAAGAAACAGTTGCCCAAACCTTTATTTGGTGAATAAAAGTTTAAAGCCAAAGGTTATTTATGGTTCTGCAGAGATAGGACCTGAGTGGCTATTTACGAGCACGTGATTCCAATAAACTTTGTTTTATGGCTTGAGAGTTGACAAGCCAAAATATAATTCCCACCATAAATTAGGTTAAGAGCATACAAGTGCAGATGCTTGGTTCCTGGAGCAGCGATAGGAAAGTGAGAGGCTCCAGCCAGCACCCGGCTAAGGAGACAGTTCTTCTCCCAGCTCCCCTGCCCACTAGGAAAGAAAAACAGTAAGTCACTTATTACTTTTTCCGAAACAGATACAGAGGTGGGGAATTTCTCTTTCTGGACTTTTCTGCCTGGTGTGGGGAGAAGTCCCATCGAAGTTAATTCTAATTTTAGCCTACACCTAAATTAACAAATAGAATGAGGATCTCGGTCCCCCCCCTTCTGAACATCGACAGTTAAAAATCGAGGGCTCCCATCTCACAAGAGGGACTTACTGTCTCTCTCCTCCCCATAATGAAGCATCTGCTTCAGAAGTAGACTAAAATAGTAGTAGTCTGGGTGGGGTAAAAGAGAAGGTGAGGGTACAGATGTGTTTGCCTCTGAGATTTCCGAGACGATTTCTATCCTAGAATAAAACTGGGAAAGACAGAAAACTTGAAGCTGGACACCAGCGCCTGGGAAGACCACTGCTTTGTGAGATTGGTTTTGTTGGCTTTCCAGCAGCAATGCTGAAAAATTGATGTCATACCCATAGAGCTGGATAACAATCTAAAGCATTACCATTTACCTTTAAACGCATTGATTTTCCTCCTCCTTGATTATCATTTGGGTGCTCATTTCCCCCTGGAAATTGCTCTTTGTTTTGAATTGGAGCAGAAGTGGGAAGGTGAGTCCCAGCCATGTCTGATTCTTCTTTAGGGAGGATAAGACAGGTTTGGGGAGGAGGAGGGCACTCCTTGGGGCAGATGAATTTTAAACAAACCTGAAACTGGAAAAGGGAACTGAACTGCTCCCAGGGCCAGAGAGACAGGAGAACTGGGGAGGGGACAGATGGACCGACTACACCCTCCCCAGTGGACCTGCACCTACCCGGCCTATTTGCGTAAAAGGAAACACACAAAGGCCCATTTTCTCCTCGGTTTCCGTTTTCCCACTGGGGAAACCCTAACAGGCAGCCTGAGTAGGGCCAAACAACCAGTAAGGTTTTGCCCAAGGGTGCGTGGAGTGGGGGAGGTGATGGGGACAGAACTCTCTCTCGCAATCTGCGGCTCCGTCCTTGAGGACTGCGGTCTCTGGCTCTGCGGAGAACTTTACGCAGTTCCCGGGGGCGGGCACCTGAAGCAGGGAGGTCTGCGTATTGATGGGGTGTTTGGGCCTTGTCATTTTTCTGTGTCATCTGTTTCTGCTTTTTATCCTGTGAAATTTAAGTGACCCCCGTTTTTATTGCAACAGGTTCAGGACCATGAGAGAGCGTCACTGTAAGTACCTTTCCGTTTCTTTCGAATCGCGAAGAGGCGGTGCTGATCCCGGGGAGGTGGTGGGCGAAGGGCTGTGCCAGCGGAGTGGGCTGGTGGAAGGGACGCCCTCCCTCCCCAGGCCTGGCCAAGCGAGCAGAACTGGATTTGGGTGGTGGAGGTGCTAAACTGAGCTCCTGGAAAGCTTTTCTGGGGCCTAGTTCACAGTCACCTGCCTAAGGAAACAGGCCACGGGGTCTCACCCTTGTCTCCTTGGACCTTTCTGGACCTTTCCAGCCTGTCCCTGGCTCAGCACAGGTGCAGCTCCGCCACAGCGCTCGCTTGGGTTCAGAGCTTGCAGCTAATTAGCAGCCTGCCCTATTAACGAGTTGCAGCCAGCATCCGCCTCCAGCCTCCAGCTACGCTGCAAACACCAGTCTCTGCAGTCCAGCCTAGTTTATCCCGGTCAAGCCTGGCCCAACCTTCGGCTTTAAAAAAAAAATTGACTACAAACAAAACTTAATCCTCTGTGGCCGCGGGTGTGTTGAGTTGGCCCGCTTCCGGGGAAGGCTGCTAATTCTGAGCTTTACGTGGACATTCCTCTCACCGCCCCTCCCCCGGACCCAGAGCTAGCGGTGTGGGCCCTGGGTTTGTGACAACGGCTGAGCGAGGCGAGATTCTCTCTCTCGTTCCCCTCTGCTTCTCTGTAACTACAGTTCCAGAATTTCTGCTCCAGAGTCGCTGGTGTCGCAAGGAAACATACCAGGGGTGGGGGGTTGGGTGGGGCCAGAGCCTCTAGGGGTCCTTAGCTGGGATAGTTGGATCTTTCCGAGTTCCCTGTGCCACGAAAGACAGGTTCATTTCAGAGGAGGCCTGTGAAGTCTGCCGGAGAACCACGTCATTAAGATTATGATATTCGCAGGAGAGTCAGGGGAAAAAAGGTGGTCCCTCCCTCACTGCAAAGCGGAGGTGATTTTATTTTAATGGGAGAGGGGATATTGGAGGACTGCAGGGAACAGGCACCCTGGCTTGTGAGACACCCTATCTTCTGGTTGGAATAGCTGGGGCTGGGCTCCCGGCCAGGTTTTTTGGCCCCATAGGCTGGGCAGCCTAGGTGACTCCCTGGGGGCTGTGCTCACCCCAGAAAACCAGATCTGCCCTGTGCGTTGGCTTCTATGAATCAGGCCGGCTCAAGTGAAACCGGCTCTGGGCTCCAGGCTGGAAACTCTGGTCTCCCCAAGACCCCTTCGTCTTGTGCCCCTCCTTCAGCTGACCTGGCTTTAGGTGCTTATCTCTGCGGAGGCTACTCACTTGCAAACCCGCATGCAGCACCCTGTAGCTGAACACAGCACAAAAAGCCCGAGAGATCAAAAGCATTAGTATGGGCAGTTGAGAGGGAGGTGAATATTTAACGCTTTTGTTCATCAATAACTCGTTGGCTTTGACCTGTCTGAACAAGTCGAGCAATAAGGTGAAATGCAGGTCACAGCGTCTAACAAATATGAAAATGTGTACATTCGCCTGGGTCCCCACAAGGCTCAGGAGGCTCCCTCAATTTGTCTGGATAAAGCCTAGGCCCAGTGTCCCCAGGAAGGTGAATATGTGGGAACACTTGGCATTAGGGGAAATTGAGGTGACTCTCTGAGACAAACAGATTCAGCAGCCTCAGAGCCCTTGTTAGAATTGGTGCCCAGAAAATACCTACAAAATAACCAAAGTGGTGGAACCAAAGGATGTGAGAAGTGTGTAAAGTGCCAGGCTTAGAAGGGAGTTTCTCTGCCCCACCCTACCAAGCCCAGGCCTGAGGCTTAAAACTAATTTTTGAATTATGGAGTGGGGAGGGAAGGGGAATCAAAACACGCCCCCCCCCAATTTAACACCTTCAGCCTACGGTCAGGCATCCAGAGCCCCACTTGAGCCAGGGCATCCCTTTGCCCCTGAAATCCGTCCCGGCTCTGAGTGCCTCTGAGCACTTGGTGCCCTGAACTGAAGGACAAGCCTTGGACAGGGCTGAGGCACTGGGGCGGGTGAAATTCGTGAACTTTTGTACTCTTGTGTGCTGCTGTCGGCAAAGTAAAAATAATGAAACTTTGTGATATGTTTGTAAATGATTTCGAATGACCCCTCGCCCTGCCCTTCACCATTAGTGCGCCGGCCTCAGCCCAAGGCAGCTCTGTGCCTGTGAGCAGCAGTGCCTGCCTCGGGGTCTGCAGCAGCAGCAGCAGCAGCAGCGGGATGAACAGGCCGGCCGGCTCAGGGCCCAGGAAGGTAAGTATGCGAGCGTTCTTAGAGAAGTAGCTTTGGCAGCCAATCTGGCTTGGTCAGGCAATAGGAAAAGGAGTGAGCAGAAAATGCTCCCCTCCTGCCCCATTTTCTTCTGCCGCTGAGGATATTTGTTCCTTTCTGGAAAATACCACTTGATGGGAAGGGGGTACTAAAGCTGCCATTGCTGGGATGGATTATTTTTTCTTTTTTCTTTTTTTCTTAAGAAGAACATTCTGGTTGCTCGGCTGCTTGGTAACCCTGGCCCTGGCAAAGGAATGATCGAATTCGATTGCTGCAAATTGTCACCAAGCCTGTCAGGCTACCTGAACTGTCTCTGAAAGTGTGGGTGGCTGCATCGGGCTGGTGGTGGCTCAGAGGAAGAGGCCAGGGCTGGCAGCAGCCTGGGTACCCGCTCTGGGTGGGACCCGAAGGTTGTAACGTTGTCTATATATACCCTGTAGAACCGAATTTGTGTGGTATCCACGTAGTCACAGATTCGATTCTAGGGGAATATATGGTCGATGCAAAAACTTCACATTGCTTCGAAATAGCCAGATACTAAGGTGGAGACTAGAAGCCACCGGCACTTGTCAGCCACCTCTTTCTGTTTTAGTACCTTGGATGCCAGGAAGATCGACTGTGCCTGGTGACATAGAGCAGCCTTTTCCTCTCCGGAAGCTCCTCCTCACCTTTAAACAGAGGCTTCTGTGGCGGCTGCAAAAAGAATCCCTAATTGGTTGCATGAAGGCAGGGCCAAAGGGCTAGGTTTTGGGGTGCTAGGAAGTGAGGTGGAAGGCCAGCTAGCCTTAGCCCCAGCTGCACCCTTGAGGGGCATGTTGTGCAAAGGTACCCAAATGGGGTCTTGCTGGAATTTAGGGCCTGTCTGTGGGAAGAAAGCAAGCTACGAAGAAGGCAAGTGGGGACCTTTGTCATGCATTTGGGTGAGGTGGGGGTACCCTCACTACCATCCCAGCCCACCCCTCACCTGCACGGACCAGGGCAGCCGAGGCTTCTTGCCATATCAGGAGGGCCCAGCTTTGGCTTGGGAACACCCTGGCTTGGGCACCAGTAGAAAGCATGGCAGTTACTCATTGCCTAATTTGATTCAGGTCCGCCAGATTCTGGTAACTTTTGGGTGACCCTGATGAAGACAAAGCCCCGACTGAGGTCTTTGTATGGCAGAGTCTCAGCTCCTGCGGGCTGGGCGGACAGGGCACCGCCTGCCTGGGGCACTCTGCCCAACTCACAGGCAACCTTGCTTACCCACCTTTCTCGTTGCCCTACACCCCAATGGGAGGATTCATTCTCCCTTGAACTGTGCGCAGTTGGTGGGGGGCTGCTTTCACGCAGGGGTTAGTGGAGAGGGCATGTGAGGTTAGTAAAATCAGTGGCAGACAAAAGCTGGGATTACCTGAGGGGAATGGGGGTGCTAGGGGTTGGAACTGTATTAACATCTGGCGGGGGCTCAAATGTGCCATGGCGAGTCACTTGATTACACGTATGTTATTTAGTTAAATTTGTGAAAATTATGAGATGTTCACCAACCCGGTGATAAACTCGCTCCCTTGCTATTGGCTGGCCTGGTCACATGGCCACCCAACTTTATTCAGTTGACAGCAAGTAGGAGGGCCCTATGGAAGGAGAAAAAAAGACAACACGAGAAAAATTAGTATTTTCTACCTTCAGAAATTAATGGCCATGAGTTCGTATATGGTGAACTCCAAGTATGTGGACCCAAAGTTCCCTCCGTGCGAGGAATATTTGCAGGGCAGCTACCTAGGCGAGCAGGGCGCCGACTACTACGGTGGTGGCGGCGCGCAGGGCGCAGACTTCCAGCCCCCGGGGCTCTACCCGCGGCCCGACTTCGGTGAGCAGCCTTTCGGAGGCGGCGGCCCCGGGCCCGGCTCGGCACTGTCTGCGCGGGGTCACGGGCAAGAGCCAAGCGGCCCTGGCGGTCACTACGCCGCTCCGGGAGAGCCGTGCCCGGCGCCCCCGGCGCCTCCACCCGCGCCCCTGCCTGGCGCCCGGGCCTGCAGCCAGTCCGGCGGCCCCAAGCAGCCGCCCCCCGGGACTGCACTCAAGCAGCCGGCCGTGGTCTATCCCTGGATGAAGAAGGTGCACGTGAATTCGGGTAAGGCGCGGTGGCTCCAGCACCCTCTCCATCCCCACCCCAGCCGGTTGGCCTGGGTGTCCCGGAGCAGGGCGCGAGTGGGTGGGAGCATGTGGAGCTTCCATGGGCGCCACAATTATTCTCTCCATAAATTTTTATAGCTGAGGGAGCAGGCCGGGACCATGTGGCTGGCTGCTCCTCTATGGGAGCAAAAAGGGGTGGGGAGGAGCTGGGGTGGGGAAGGACTCCATTTTCAGAGCAGAGGGAACGCGGGGGAAGAGAGGGGGGTTTCCAAAATGCTTGGGGATTCCGGAGCTGGTGGTGGGCCCCAGAGAAGGAGCACATTTGGAGATCCCACGCTGCAAGCCTGGGGGAATGGGTGTGTGTGAGGGGGTGGGTGGGTGGGAGAGAGTGTGTAAGCCAAGGAGAGGGCGGGAGGGAGGAAGCGAGCTTGGGAGCGCGGGGAGGGCCGCGGCCTCGGGACGGGCCAGGAAGTGAGCCGCAGAGGCAAGGGGCCTAACTAGTGGCAGGGCGCTGACCTGGCTGTACTGTGTTTTGTCTCGCAGTGAACCCCAACTACACCGGTGGGGAGCCCAAGCGGTCTCGGACGGCCTACACCCGGCAGCAAGTCCTAGAACTGGAAAAAGAATTTCATTTTAACAGGTATCTGACACGGCGCCGTCGGATTGAAATCGCTCACAGTCTGTGTCTGTCCGAGCGCCAGATCAAGATCTGGTTCCAGAACCGGAGGATGAAGTGGAAAAAAGACCACAAGCTGCCCAACACCAAAGGCAGGTCATCATCTTCATCTTCCTCCTCCTCCTGCTCCTCTTCCTCAGCTGCCCCGGGCCAGCATTTGCAGCCGATGGCCAAGGACCACCACACGGACCTGACGACCTTATAGAAGTGGGGACCCTGGGCCCATCCCTCCCTGCGCTCCAGGCTGAGCCGAAGCTGCGGGGGCAGGCCGGGCCTGCTGTCACCTCGCTGGGCTCTAAGGTACTGTGGGGTGGACCTGGGACACACAGGCCTCCCTCCGACTAGGTTAGCATCCTGCCCAAGGGCAGCCCCCTCCCTAGATCCGGGATGGGGAGGAGAGGGGGGGCGGGATTTTCTCTCTAAGTATATTATATGGCAGGAGCTACTGATAATATAAAACCTTGTCGAGTCATTAAACTCATGAAAATCTCTGCTCTTGGATTTTGAATTTGCTGATGAAGGTTGGATGCTTTATCCCAGTATGAATTTGGACATTCTCCCCCATGCCACCCCTCCAGGGAGCTTTGTGGTTTAGTAAGGTGGGGGAGTTAAAGCAGAAGGTTGGCCATCCCCATACTAGGTGATTTCAGTGGATGTAGGAGAGCTGGGCCAGGATTTTGGAACTTTCTGGGTTGCCTGTAGAATTTTCTGTGTGATTAAAAATATATATATTTTGCTCCCAATGGCCCTGTGTCCAAAGAAATAAGTCTAGAAAGAAAGTGGAAATGGATTATTTTATGTTTAGATATTATTTGCTTAACTATTTATTTGTTGGGAAATGGAGTACAGAAATAACTGACACCTTCATGCCAAAAATCTTAAACGATGAAAGGGACTGAGCTTCAGGGAGCAGAATCAGAGATCTGTATACTTACTTCTGTCTATAAACCAGGATTTTGAACTCCACCCCCTCTCCACTCCCTGGAAATGTGTGTAGGGGGCCCTTAACCCTTCTAGAGGGAAGCAAAGGATCCACTCAGTTGAGTTCTTGAAAATGTATTTCCACATGTGCTTTTTTCAGCACTGTGCTTACAGCCAGTTCTGGATGATTAAAGGAAAGGGGAAAAAAGAAACAAATGGTCCAACATTTTCCTTCTGGGGAAAGAAAACAAAACTCAATGTACTGGGTTATTAGATAATGACTGAATTTTCTGTTCCAATAAGACTTCAAATGCCCCAAATACATAGCAGTATTTTATAGGAATTGGTATATGGCCTATGTGGGGGAGGGGCTGTATGGTGGGAAGAAAGTGGTAAGGTGAGGAAGTCTTGCTTTAAAAAAGAAACAAAAACTTAATTGAATCTAGAAGTCCATAAAAGTTGGTCTTGGGGGAGTTTCCCCCCTGAAGCTCTAAGTTTTACAAAAGCAAATCTAAGGAAGTTTTTCTCAGTCCATTAATTCGAAGAAGAAATTGCAAAAGTATAAAAGTTTTCAAGCCTTCTTCTTTGCCTTGAGAATAGTAATTTTTTTCCATAATCACTCTCAAACAACAGGAGAGATGTTCTCTAGTCATTTTTCTTATGCCTTGCCTGGGAAAGGTTCAAAGTTCATTTTTTCTAAAATGCTGACCTTGAGGATAAGGAGAAAAGAGTCAAAGGTAATGGCCAGAGTTCATATACTCAAATGAAGAAGTCTTTGGAAGTTTAAACCACCAAGTCTCAGGCTCCAAAAAAGAAACCCCTGGTTAGAGCTGCCAAAAGGGGACAAAAGAGGAGAGGGAGTAAGTATAAGCTTAAAACTTAATTTTAAGATCCAGAATGGTGTTATTTTTTTCAGTGCTTCAGAATACTTTAGAAGGTTTCAGTGGTAATTCTCAAAATATATTTAAGTGGGAGAGAAAAAACCCTTTCTTTGCAGGCGTATTCTTTGGTTCTGTGTCTCCTGAGAGCTGAGGGCAGGTATTCACTGGAGTCCCTAGGCTGAAATTCCACTTCTCCTAAAGTATCTTCCAAGCCTTGGTCTTTTGTATTAGACCCTGGGGACAGCTCTTTGTTCCTCCTTGGGGTGAGCCTGGCTCTCAGACTTGCACATGGCAATACTTGAATATCACCACGTCGGGATATTAAAGATGGATATTCCTGCATTATTCACATCATTGTTTCTATGACAAAAAGCACAGAGTTCATACATAGTCAAGATGTCTTTTTTCTGACGCCCTCACGTTGAGAAGCTGAAAAGGTATTTTACTGAAGTTCGGGTAAATTACAGAATCAGGTTCATCCAGAGGACAAATTTTCTATTCGATTAGCTGTATTTCAGCCGGGAGACTGACCTCTAAACCCTTAACCTTTTGGACTCTAACTACCCTTCTCTTCTTTTTTCCCCTCTAACATGGAGAGCAGTCTTTGGAAGTAGAATTTGAAAAGAGCCGCTATCTTTAAGCAAGTTGGAAAGTTGCTAAGATTCTTTCTTAAAACCTAAATATGTGCATATATTGAACCTACTCCTTGGGAGGGGGAAAGGTATATATTTTCATAACATCCAACTACATATATATTATAGAGATTATTATATGGATTTTTCCCCCTCCTCAGAAGTCCAGGTTACTCACCCCAGCTTCCTACCAAATGCCACAACTACTTAACTGACATCATCCCTGGCCCAGAGGAAAGCCAAGAAGCATGTTTTCATGAGGAAAACCCAAGCTCCTTCTCAAACATAGCCACACTACTTTGGAAAGAAACTTAATCAGAGAAACAACTTCTTTGTTTATAAATCTCAGCTCTCCTTCTCAGCTTCCTGGGATTGTCTTTTGATATGTTAATGGAGCCTTGATGGCTCAGAGGGCAGCCTGTTACCCTGATGTCCCACTCGGACCCCAGCATCCATTTGGGCCCACAGGAGTGGGCCAAGGAAGGGGCAGGGCCCCAAAACCACCTAGGGCAGGGAAGGAAATGGATTTCTATCTGGGAACGTGCTCTGCAGAAAGCTACATGTGGAAAGGCTCCAGTGCCCATTTGCTATTATTTGTTTCCAGTTTGTTCCCCTAAATATGAGCCAGAGTGTGTGTTTTGGTGTTTAAAAACAAACAAAAAAAAACATCAAAAAACCTGTGTTGGGGTTGTGACTGGGGGAGGGGGCGAGTGAAATGTTTGCTGAGGACACTGCTCCTCAGACTCCCATCTCACTCGGTCCATCGCTGCCTTTTGTTGTGAGATGACATTGTCAGTCAGCCCCATGGTGTCTGTTCACACAAGATGCTTTTTTAATAGAATTGACCAATGTTTTGCTGCCACTGATTAAAGTATTATTTATACTAATTGTTGCCTGTAGTTTTGATGTAATTCATTGATCTATATTTAAAATAATAAAAGGTGTAGCAAACTCTCCCTCCTGTTTGATGCCTTGACAGAAGCATTCTTCCGTTAAGTCTTCTAAAGCTAACACTCAATATAAGCAATTTATTTTTTTATTTTCTGTAATAAATTAGGCACCAAGTTATTTGGTGCCTAAGGTGTGAAGGTTAAACCCTGTAAGGCTTAGCAGTTCTATTATCACCTCCTACCCCAAATACACACACTCCCAATTTGGCTACCATATTTTGTGAGCCTGGGTTTGGATTCAGGCTGCAGGGTGGTTTGCTTTTTTTTTTTTTTTTAAGAAAAAGTAATTGCCCCGTTAATAGGGGGCTCCAGTTTGGCTTTCTGGGCCCCAGACAACCCTTCAGTCTTGGAGCCCTGAGGGGAGGTCTTTGTGATGTGGCAGTGGAGAAACCCCTTCCTGCCCACCCCTCCCCAAAAAACTCTGGGAGAGAGTGCTGGGTTCTGGGCCAGTCAGTAGCTGCTCTGAGCTGACCCCGCTGGTTTCCGATCTTGGGCTTCCTCACTTTTCCGGTGCTGCTCAGCCCCAGCGAGGGCTCCAGCACCTGCCCCCCCTTCCCCAGCGCCCCCTCCGCCCCTCAGACAACAATAAACACTCCCCACTGTAAAAAGTACCGTTCACTATTTTTACCAAGAGTGCTTTTTCAGATTTTGGCCTTTCCTTGAAGAGGGGGCCAGGCAGGAGTTCCAAAATAGATGGGGGGGGAGAACTTGGTCGAGACAGGAAATGAGCAGAATGCATAAAATCAGACATGTGTCCTTAATATATGGAAGGGCTCGCCCCAGACGCGTGGACATGTGTATTTATAAGTGCGCAGACAGAAGTTTAAATATTCAGACACATTTTATGATTGTCCTCTGCCCGTCTTCTGGTTAATGGCTCCTCCCGTGCCCACCAATACATCAATACCGTGTGTGTATTGAATCACCGGCAGGGATGAGGAGGAAGCGAGCCCGTAGCCCAGCCGGCTGAGTACAGTACAGTAAATCGGGACCCTCGGCAGACTGCGCTTCCCGCCGCCCGCCATGTTGGGGAGCCCTCCCTGCCCCCTGCGCCGGGCTGGGCGGCCGGGGCTCGCCGGCAGCCGGGGGAGGGCCTTTCATAACCCGGAGAATTTTCAAAGTGCGAGGAAGATGATAAGAATAGATTTCTACAAGTCCCGACCACGTGATTGGCGAAATAATTAATTCAGCACGTCCCTTAAGAAACACGGAGTCGTCATTAATCTGCCACGCAAAGGGCTCTCTCCGACTTGGAAAGTGCAGGGATCCCAAGAATATCACCCGCCGAGGGGGGCCGCGCGGCGCCCCCGGCCTCCACCCCGGCCCCGGCGGGCGCGGGAGCGCGGCCGGCAGGTAAATATTTTGGCGACTTTTATTTCATCAGATTTAAATCCTTAATGAACTTAGCTGTCAGGGCTGCTGACAAATAGTTCCCTTTGCTTCCTGATTTGGAACTGCGCGCCGGCGAGAAGTTGTTAGTGGCTTGGATGGTGACCTTTGGTTCAGCAAAGCTTTGCACTTATGAAAAATTACTGAGAGCGGCCGAGTGTGTGTGCGTGCGCGCGCGCGCGTGTGTGTGAGAGAGACAGAGACAGAGGATGTGAGGGTGTGCGAGGCGCTAGGGTGCGAGGGGGCGAGGGGTGAGGGGCGAGGGTGCGCGCGGGCTGCCGCGAGACAACAGGAGTTGTAAAAAACCGGCCCGGCTGGGGGACGCGCCTGGCGCACGCGGGCCGAGGTTGCCCGGTCGCCTGTGTCTACCGGGAACAATGGTCGCTGTCACGGCATCTGCCGCCTATTCTTAAACCGGTGAGAAAAGGCCCCGGCCCTCTTTTCAAGCGAGGGTCGTAAATTTTTCTTTGCGTCATAATAGAAGGCTATAAAATCGAGTTGAAATTTTACCCCAGGCAGGTTTTAACCAACAGATAATGATTTCCGAGTTGCTTCTCCCACTTTCCTCCCTCCCCACTCAAGCTCTGCTGCTTCTGTCACCCCAGCGAGGATTTGCCCCTTCTTTCCCCTTTATTTTTGTTCTTTCAGTTTTCGAGGGAAGAATTAAAATAAACGCAAGGGGAAGAAGTCTCTGCCGCCGGAGTGGGAGACCCTGGGGCGAGCAGGGGACGTCTTGGGGGAAAGTAGCGTGGGGAGAGGACAGGGCAAGCTGCAAAAGGCTGTCTCTCTTGCTCACTCCCCTTTTCAGACCTTTTTCACCCGCACACCAAGAAAATTCGGTGACCTAAAAGCCATTCCTCTCCTGCCCCACCTCACCCCCAGCTTGCAAGGGACCTGGGCTGGGGCAGCAGCGGGCGTTCTTTTCTTCCAGCTATTAGCTCCGGCTTGGGTGCCTCTTTATTTGCCTCCTTCTCTCTTGTTTCTGTGACATGCCTCCATTGGCTTTCGGGATGATTTCGGCAAGCTGGGGTTGGCTGTGTGGTAGCTGTTTTGGGATTGTGTGTGTGTTTTCATTTCTTTTGGGGTGTTGTGTATATTTCCCCGTCAGGACAGAAACAAAGTTTCCTCCGTTATGAATTATACATTCAAACAATAGCACATTAATTCAATTATTCAAAGATGACAAATGTTTATGTGCTTTGCGAGTGACTCCGGCGCAGATTCTGGGCGCTTTCGCTGAGCTGCTTGCATTTTTCTCAATGAGAATCATCTCCTCTTCCACCATCACCCATTCCAACCCACCCAGACAGCCCCTTGTAGGCCCAGAGAGGAACCCACAAAAAACCTCCCCAGCCCCGCTGGCAGCCCGGCAGCCAACAGCCTCCCAAGGCCTGGGCTTGGCGGGCACCGGCCCGGGCTATTTTATCAGTGTGACAATTGCCCGGGTTGGTGTGATAAATCATCGTAAGTAATTCCTGAAAGGGTGCGAGACTGTTGGGGGCCGGGCGAGGACTGTAAATCTTTCCGGTTTATTGCTCTATGAACATATGCTCCGATTGAAGAAGGCTTAGATCCTTTCCTAGAGACAAATTCCCGCAAAGCAGCCCCCCTCTTTGGCTGGGGATTAACACTTGCTGCGGGCCGCTGGCTCCGTCCCTGGCAGGAGGCTAGGGGGCGGGGTCCTCCAGGTGGGGGTGGAATGGGGGCACCCCCGGAAAACCGCCGAGTGGGTTTCTGGCCAGGCCTGGCCAGGTGAACAAAAGGAGGGGCTTACTGACAGGTCTGGGGGCTCTGGCCTCTGGGACCTTCCTACGCCTCTGGAGTGGGGCTGCGGTGGACCTTACCCCTCCTCCCCAGCTCGTCTATGGCTGCTGGGCGCTTTCGCTGTTCTAAGACCCTGCATGCAGTGACAGGGCATGGCTCGCATGTTCGATGCTGCTAAGAAGCAGAGCTGGCGATGAAACCGAGATGGGGTGGGGGGTATGGGGTGGAGAGCGCCCGGTGGTGCGGGATTCCGGAGTGCGGGGCCTGGCTGAGAGAGGGCCGCGGGAGTTCCATACAAGCCAGGAGCTGGAGATCGGCTGCTGGCCCAGGCTCGCTTAATTTTTTCCACATGCAGAATTCCCACCCGACTATTCCGAAAGTGGTGGGAACCTGTCCTGATTTAATATTTCTAAAATAGAAGTTTCCTTGTCCCCCAGGTAAGCTCGGCCAGGACTGTTTCCGCAGTCCTCCTCGCCTTCCAGGAGGCGCCGCAGGAAGCGGGAAGCCGCGGCCGGGCGGTCGCTGGGCTTGCGGGATCCGCGGGTCTCGCCGGGATCTTCAGCGGGCAGCGGCTCAGCGCCCAGGCGGCTCCGGGCCTCGAAGGACACGGTTGGGGTACTCAGGGCGCAGAGAGCGGAGGTCGCTCTAGGTCCCAGCCGCCTGCTAGGCGTCTTCTGTAGCTCAGAAGTGGCGAAGACTCGGCTGCTGCTGAGTGCGGGAACGAGCCAGGCCCCAAGGAATGGGGATGGTGGCGGGGGTTCTCTGAGGTGACGGGCCACGGCTGAGAGCCGGTGGCTTCAACCTTAGAGCCCGTGCCCTGCCACAACGTAATTGCCTCGCCCTGGGAAGGGGAGAGCGGGGCGTCGGCCTAGGAGGCGGGGAGGGCGCCTTGCCCGGGTGCGTGCGGATGCGGAGTACGCGGCCCAGCCGCGGAGTTAGGGGAACCCTGGGCCTCTGCTTCTCCACAGCCATCTCCAGGGACCTCTGGAGGCCGCCTGCAAAATTTCCAACCCCCGGACCAATCTGGCGGAAGGCCCAGCCAGGGTCAGAGGTCGTTGTGGGGAGAGACTCTCAACGCCCCCGTGCTACTGCGGGCTGCCAGGCTGGGGCCGAGTGGGTCCGGAGCTTCGAGATAGGGTTCTTCAATCCCACACCCAGCCGAATCTGCCCCAGGGAAGGGGCCCGGGCCCGAGCCTCCCGCGCCCCTCCTCCCAGCCCCCAGGCCTGGCTGTGCTCCGGGGCTGGATGGCGTGAAAGTTTCAGCCTCAATCAGTACAATCTTCCCTCGGGGTCACGTGAACAAATATGCTCGCATTTGAAGGCAGCGTCTGTATTTCCCGACTATGAAGGGGTTTCCGGGGCTCTCTCCAAATCCAGAAAGGACCACGTTCCGCAAGCAAAACAAATCCCGAGCTCTGGGGGGCCTGGGAGGGCTGGGCAGAAACCCAGGAGTGGGTGGGGGCGCGGGTGGCCGCCGCTCCGGGCCTGAGAGCGGACGGGCAGGCGGGTGGACCGACGGGCGCGCAGCACAGGCGAAGCCAGCTCAGGGACTACGAACTCGTTCCTCCTGCGTTTATTGGTAGTTGAACCTCAGCCTGGTTCCGTTCTACCGGGAATTCCGTATGCTCGGGTATATGGCCGCGTCTGCGAGCGCGCAAGACCAGGGTTGGGACAGTGTTGTCTGCAGACAAAGGGGGAAGGCTAGCTCTGCCCCCCACTGGCGCCCACTCTGAGGCCGAGGACACCAGGTTTATGATAAATTGGGATCCAGGTAAGCAATTGCATGACAAAATGGAAATCTTTGGGCACGGGGCGGCTTGCTACCCTGAGTGGGATACTAAATATGATTTATTTTGTGTAATCTCTGATCTTGATTATTGCCAATTGGTGAGGCAGCCCGCGTAGACCTAGATACACTTCTACATATACATCGAGCATGGTGATTAATCGTAACGAGGCGCTCTTTGTGGGGACGTTCCCCGCCTACCAAAAGGTTAGGAGGACACTACCTGCCAGGCTTGGAGGTGGCGGGCGGCATGGGGGTGTTAGTAGCAGTTTGAGGAAGGGGTCTGGTGAAGGGACTGGGAGAAGGAGGAAGTATTTTAGAGGTAAATATGCAATTATGAGAATAGGCTGAAAAATGAAATGAATAAAAAACTTTTTTACACTGTCACTGCCAAAGTAAGATGGAGCGTCATATTAATTTTGTGTCTTGGGCTGCCGGGCTGGGCACAGTTGGGTTGATTTATATGTATTTAAAATAAATTCGGTGGCTAGCCAGCTCCCTGCATTGTTCTGGGAGTGAGCTACACACAAGAGGGCTTTACCTCTTGCTGGTGGCTTAATATATTTTTCTTGAGAGGTTAAAATGCTACTGAGCTTCTCCCTCACAAATTCAGGAGAACCCCAAACTACTCAGAAGAGTTTGGGAGGTTCCTCCACACTCCCCCCACCAATCTAGGCTTCTGACTTCCATCGTGGCAGAGAAAGGATTTAGGGTTTCTGGGTCCTTTTCCCCAAAGAACTCTGAGTGAAAAACGAAACCATATATTGGTTCCTGAATCCAATCTATTCTTTTGTTTGCTTGCTCCCTATGGTTCCTGGCTGGCGGAGGGAAGACATCCCATCCAGGGTCTTTGCGGGCCAAGGCCCGAGTGGGCAGGTCCATGAGCCTGAGTGAGTGGCTCCAAGCTCAAGGAAATGCCACTGGGCCAGACCGGACTGGACCTCTGTAGGGAAAGGACCCCCAAAGCAAGGAGCACTCCCTTAACCTAGGTTGGGACAGGGCCCAGCAGAAGAGGGACTGACTTCTAGGGACATTGCCATCAAAGGAGAGCAGTAAAGTTGTTTCCTCAATCGCCTGTGTCTGGCTCCATCAAAACTTAAAGTCGCTGGACATTTTTCTTTGCTCGCTGCCTTGGAGCTGCGTGCCTGCCAGCTTAGTCAGCTGAATCCAATTACTGCGAGCAGCATTTCATTTGGCCCCATGGAGCACTCACTTATAACTTCCCCGAAAATTTCAATAATCCCCACCAAGGCTCCGTGCTGGCCCTATCCTAAAGAGTTTTCCCGGGGTGCTGCTGGGGGATGGGGGATAGGGCTGGGGCTGCCTGGAACCAGCTCTTCATTGACAGCTGGCAGACGGGGCTCTCTACTGCTCCCCTGTTTTTTGGCTCTGGAAAGGGTACTAGTGATGGTGGCCCAGAGCCAGCCAGGCTAAGGCTGAGATTCTGGGCAAGAAAAGGGCTAAAGTTGGGCCCCTGTAGGTTGGTGGGTGGGCAGGGGAGAAACATGGGAGAAAGTTCAGGCGGGGGGGCTTTTCTGGTAATCCAACTTTGGCCAACTTGGGGTCCTTTTTCCTTCCCCCTTCCCATGCCAAGAGGGCACCAGCCACCCCTGAATGCCCAGGCACAAACTTACCCTGTTTCTCCGTGGCTGGAAAACAAAATCTAGCTAGAGGAGTCAGGGTATCCTGGCCCTAGCTGGCCTTTCAACTTAGATCTTTTGAGGGTATGCTCCTACTACTAAAGAACCCCTTTTTAAAGATAAATAAATAATAAGCAGATAAGTTGACTTCCACCCACGTGAATGTATTATACAATGCAACTGCAGGACCCACTGGTTTGAAACCCCTGGTTCCTTGTGCCTCCTCTGGGCCACCCTCAGGGCCCAGCGAGCCAGGCAGGCTTAGAGTGGGGGCGGGAGAGCAGTTTGCCTCTGGGCCTGGGCAGCCGAGAAGCTAAAGCTGGGGCGCGAAGTTAGGAGCCCTACCGGGCTTGGCTCTCTCTGAGGCGCTTCCGTTGGGTGTTCATTAAGGGGTGAGTTATTGTGGCTCGAGCCAAAGGTCACTTCAAAGGCTTATGGCTGTGCGCTGTGGTCTTTAGAAGCGCCTGGGACGCTTTGTGTGAGGCTTTCCCCGGTGCAGTTTAGTGTTTGCAAACTACTGAGTCGACAAATTGCACAGGGCAGATGCAAGAGTGGGACTCTGTCCCTCTTCCTTCACCTGCCAGGGCAAGGGACCCCACCGCTGAGTGATGCCACTGCTTGGGCCCCTTGGTCGGTGGTTTTGGGTAGGCATAGAAAGGATGTTTGTTTCTTAGGTGGTTTGCAGCCTGATCCTGACCCAGTAGTGGGCAGCCCAGGCCAAGAGTGTGGATACTTACAGGAGTGAATAAACTCAGGGAAAGCATCCGAGGTAGAAATTTAATGTACAAACCAGGAAATAGAACCCAGCTCCCTCTTCATGAGGCTCTCTGGGGCAGCCCTGACTAGATCCATTCAGGCCCATCGACCAGCCTTTCCTGATGCCCCAGTCTGTAGCCTCCCTCCCATCTTTATTCTGCACAGTCTCTCTTCTGCTCCCAGGATGGTGGGGTTAGCCTCTGGGATTGCGACCCAGGGCATTTAGAGCTTTTTGGGAGCAGGAGGAGGGTAGACTGCTCCTCCGACCCACTTAGCTCACCTACTGACCAGAGGATCTGGCTCTTCCTTCAGGTTTGGGCTTTCCCCTCCTCCATGCAGCCAAGGATCTTGGTGGTGACAGCCTCTGGCTCCCTGATAGCCAACTAAGTCTCCTTTCTACTGGGGAGAAGGCCTCTGGATAGCCAAGGGCACCATATATAATAGTCACATTGATTATGATACCCTTAAAGGGGGTCTTCTCGGCATGTTGTTTGTAAGAAAGAAACTGCTGCTACTGAGAGTTTTCCATTTTGTTCCAGATCTGCCTCCACAGAATATCAAAAGAAACCAGAAGAGCCTACAAAAAGAGACAAAATTCAAGAAAACACACACATACATAATTGTGGTGAGTGGGTGTAATTATAAAAAATAATTTCCACTATATTTCCATCTGTCCTGCAATTCAGGGTAGCTATTTCAAAATTCATACATCAGGACGTAAAACAAAGGGCGGCTTTGAAGTAGATCACCTCAGTGTGAACTGCCGCCCCGTTACACGATAACCGATCATCGGCCTTCAAATTTATGGCGCTTTAATGGGATCAGCCCAGTGCCTTAAATGCAGGGTGCATTTCAGTATTGAGTTATCCGTGCTAAATAAGAGTGATTTAGAAGGGCACTCAGGGATTCCCATAGAGCAGAAGAGGCTCAGGCTGAGAGATCGGGAGGGAGAACTTGGGCAGAATAAAAATAAATCCCCTTCCAAGCAACCCGAAAAGGAGTGGCTTCCAAATCTTGAATTAGCAAAGCCAACATGGAAGGTAGAATTATTGCTCGGTTCCAGTGAATTAGCAGGATGCCCAGCAAGAGTTTGGGCCCCCAGAAAGAGATCCGTGGGCTTCTGAGGCCCTGGTTAAGGCAAAACAGGGAATGCGCCGAGACCGACTTGAATCTTAGAGAATTTTAAGAGAAACGGACGCAACTAGCACTCCATTGCCTCCTCCTTCTTTTCCAACTTGCACGGACCGACTCTGCCCATCTGTGATTTACGACCCGTTGCAGCGCTAGTCACAGCCCGGCCCCTATTGCCCCCTCCCTTCCCACCCCTTCCCTACAGCCTTTCCTCGGCCACAGCGGGCAGGCGAGCGCGGGCCGGGCCGCGCGGTGGTCGGGCGAGCCTCCTGCCGTCCCAGGCCGTGGCGGCAGCAGGTCTTCGGTCCTGGCGAGGCTGCGCGCGTCCGGTCTTGACTCCGGTGGCGGAGCAGAGCTGCTAGCAAAGGCAAGCGCCGGCCACTTTATATAATCCCGCCGCTCACAGGGTGAGCGAGCGGGAAAAGTGCGGAGTAGGGAATTCTTTTGCTGCGCTGCCTCCTACGCGGAGCCTGCTTTCCACTTCTGAAAAGTGCTGGGCCTTGGGAAGTGTTTTTCTTTTCATTCCTTACTGAAGCGTTTACTGCCGCCGTGGTCGCAGTCATAAATTTTGTTACAAACCACAATGACAGGTGCATTGATATGCACCGTGAGAGCTCCAGCTGCTTAATAACCCCGTCCCCTGGCCGCTGTGAGCGCCCTTTATTTATTCGGTATCATATTAGGTATTGATCCCGGGCAGAATTAAGTGCGGTGAGCAAGTATCAGGGCTGGGCTGCTTCGTGGGCGCAGCGGGCGCAGTGGGCAAGCACGGCCCGGGGAAGCGGGTGGTGGTCGCTCAGAAGATGCCTCCTTTCCGATGGGAGACCGTTTGGCACTGTATTCTGGGCCTGTGGCTGGGCCTCCGAGCTGACTTGGGCAACTTCCCGGAACCGCAAGAAAGGGCAAGCCAGATCCCATTTGGCGCCCCTTTCCCAGGAGGGGCACAGCATGGCCCGGGCCAGTTTCCCGGACTTAGGGGGTGGAGAGGAGGAGAAGGGAGAGAAAAGGCAGCTGAGGACTTCGAAGAAATGTGGAGCTCCGCTCGACCGCCCCTCCCCCTACACCGGCCGGTCTTCACCCCAAGGCATTTGGATCTTGGAGCCCAAATGAGCAAAGGTACCAAAGGGCGAGAAAAGAAAGCCTTTAAAAAAAAGGGGGGGGGTCGAAAAGATGAGCCACTGAACAGTTGACCATTGTCCAAGTGATTTATGACCCGTTCCTGCTTTTTAGGTTCAAGCAGAGTTCACAAGGAGTAGGGATTTCTGGAAAGAAATAAGCCTTTTTACCAGTTTTGTAACAATGTTCTCAGGTTTTGTTTTAAGAGAGGTGGCTTCTTTGGGGTGCTGTATTTTTGGGGGACTGCAAAGCCATTCCCAGTGAAGACAGCACTGCCTTTTGGTGAAATGGACATTAAGGTAGTAGATCATCATTGAGTGGGCCTGAAAATTTCTTAGGACAATGTAAACAGGCAGGAAAACAGACTGTGGTTAGTCAGGAAACTGCCTAGTATTTGTACTTTGGAGGTCTGTACACAACTTTTTCTAGGTATATGCCATAGGAACAAATATATATGTAAAGCCATCTGTCTCAAAGATCTGGTCAGTTCCTAAATAACCTATTTTAATGTGACTGGTCCACCTATCAAGATAAACTTGGTCAACTTGGGAGGCAGGAGGGGGGATGTTTTGCTTCCACAGTTGTATAAATGGAATGACAGAAGCAGCAGCAAGTTCTGCTGGTCTGAGTTTCTGGTGTGACTTTTTAGACATCCAGACCCTTAAGACTGGAAGCAGAATCCCAGAAAAGGCCAAAACTTACCCAAACCCAGAATGTCTTTCTTGGGGCAAACACATGTAAATATTAGTCACAGGATGAGGATGTAGCTATCCATTTGATATTCAGTAACATTAACAGGGAAAGATACAGAAAATTAATCAAAAGAAAGATTAAGTCCAGCTTTGTTAGGTAGTTCCTAACTGCATACATTTAAGAACACCAGCAGAAACAATTCCTACAATATAACATCTTAGTATTATGTACTCCATTGAAAAGGGCCTGTTCTTCATCAAGATAAATGGCATATTCACTTATATTATAAAACACAATGAGCAAGAAAACTGCCTACCAAACAAAGACTAATTTGAAGTATTAAAAAATTGAGTTAGGTTCTCAGGTGAAAGTGGAGGGAAAATGTGTGGACAAAGAAGTGTTTTTGGTACCTGTGGTCAACTCCATTAGGCCACACAAGCTCTCTAGATAATGTGGCCCATCATGATGACCAGGATGGAAGCCAGGGAGAGTTTCTGGGAAGGAAAGCTGCCTAAATGACGAGATCAAGAATTAAGACCACGGAGCTGACCTATGAGTTTTCTTTATCAAACAGACAAAAGTGATTGAATGGTATTAGTTATACTTTAACTCCTTAGGAGCCTTTTGGAAGAAGTGGGGAGAGAGAGAAAGAAGGGAAACCCCCATCAAGAGTCACAGGATACAAAAGGAGTAGAATATTTCTTAGTTTCTTTTTTTCTTCTTTTTCTAATTCTGAGCCCATTCATCATGTCAGGAGCGGCTCTCTCACTGGCTGTGTGTTGGGTGGGAGGTGGGGTGGGATAGATGCTCCAGAGCAGAGGTCAATAATAATATCTATTTATACAATAGACCCAGCATAAAAATGATGAAGTTTTAAAGCATTCTGTATTCACCTATGTTCCATGCATTTCAAATTCTAAATCTTTTCACCCATTTCCAGTAGTATCCATTTAAAAGTAGTGGGAGAACAAAGTAAAGGGTCTAGAAAAATGTTGATGAAAGAAAAGAAACATTTTCTAGCCTCAAAATAAGTCTGGAAGTCTGGAAGTCTTCTTCTTGGTTTTTATCTCCTAGTTTTCTACATTGTAGATCTCACAGTGCTGACCCACAGAGCTAACTGGGCTGATTCTCACCCTGTCATCACAAAGGGGACTATCTGAACTTTCATGAAAGATGCTGTGATTTTGAAATCAGGTGGGGGAGGTTTTTTGTTTTTTTGTTTTTTTTTCCAGAGCTCTTGCTGTTCTCATTGTGTTATAGGGCTTACTTTTACCCATCAAAACCCTGTGAGGACCCAGTGATTGACTGATTGATCCATTTATTCATCCACTTATTCAACAAGCAATTATTGGATTTGCTACATGCAGGACACTGGGCTGAATGTTAGGAATATATAGATGAATGACACAGTCCCTGTCTGCAAGGAGCTCACAGTTTAGTGGGAGTATCAGCCAGTAAAATGCATGGGGCTGTAAGTGCTTTTCTGCACAGGATCAAAGGCTAATGGACAATTTTGAAGGGGGAAAAATGCATTTAGGGTAGAGGGAAGCCTCTTCCCTTGCTAGAGTTGAGCTAAAGAGAAGGTCTTTTCTTAAATTTAGAGAAAATTCCTTCTGACTTTTCTAAGAGTTCTAAGAGTTCAGATAAATCCCAGAACCAGCACCTTGCCTATCCACCGCCCCCCCCCCATGAAATGGGGGGGAAGCAGAGAGCATGAGCTATTTCTTCTATATTGACTGTTCTTGCCAATGACAGTCCCTCTGGGCCTCTCACTTTTCTTCTCAGCAGGTGACCTGGAGCCTGGGGGCTGGCCCAGCTCTCTCAGGATTCTGAAGACATTGGAGGTGGCAGTGAAGGAGACAGTGGTAGTCAATGTTATTTGAGCAGGGTCAGCAGGCCCTGGAGCTTCCTGAGTGCACAATGCAGAAGGCTGCTTACTATGAAAACCCAGGACTATTCGGAGGCTATGGCTACAGCAAAGCCACTGACACTTATGGCTACAGCAACCCTCATCAGCCCTACCCACCCCCTGCTGCTGCCAACACCCTGGACACTGATTACCCAGGTTCTGCCTGCTCCATCCAGAGCTCTGCACCTCTTCGAGCCCAAGCCCACAAGGGAGCTGAACTCAATGGTAGCTGCATGCGGCCTGGCACTGGGAACAGCCAGGGTGGGAGTGGTGGCAGCCAGCCTCCTGGTCTGAACTCAGAGCAACAGCCACCACAACCCCCTCCTCCACCATCGACCCTGCCCCCATCTTCACCCACCAATCCTGGAGGTGGAGTGCCTGCCAAGAAGCCCAAAGGGGGACCCAATGCTTCTAGCTCCTCAGCCACCATCAGCAAGCAGATCTTCCCCTGGATGAAAGAGTCCCGACAGAACTCCAAGCAAAAGAACAGCTGTGCCACTGCAGGTAGCTCTTTGAGATGGCTCACCCTGGACCAAGGCCCCTCCAGACTGACTCCAGGAAGCCCCCGTTATGGCTGGGAGTGCAACCTTGGAAGCCAAATCTCTATACTCCTCCTCATGCTGAAATGTCCTTCCTTTTCAGTGTCCCTGATTGGGGTCATGACCTTGCAGTGATAGGGTGCTCACTTCCATTCCATGCAGCTGATGCCATTGCTGGAGAGGTCTCACAATTATTAATATAGAGCTCTTCCTTAAACTGACATCTGTTTTCCAGGGCTGCTAGTCATAACTCAGCTCCATTTCCCACCCAACAGCTTTTCAAAATTTGAAGACAGGTGTTATAATCCCCAAGCCTAGGTAGTTATATAGTCTATACCACATGAATCCCATTCCTTCAAATTAGTACGTCAGGTCCAAGGAGCAATATGTCAAGAACCATGCCAAGTACTTCATGAGCATTAACTAATTTAATTTTCCAAAGAATCTTTTGAAGTAGGTATAACATTTTCATTTTACAAATAAGGAAACTGTTAGAAATGATAGGCAACTCTCCCAAGATCAGGAAACTGCAAAGTGGTAGATTTGAATCAGACTGGGCCTGCATGGCATAACGATGAGACTCCACTTGACCTACTCCAACCCATTTCTCCCCACTCCAGCAAACCTGCAATGGGGAGGTGTATATCCATCCTAGGGGGAGAGGATGTTCTGAGAGACAAGAGCAGTTTTTGGATTTTTCTCCTTGGAAGGGGTACCCTAGGGAGCCAGTCCCTAGAGTTGAGAAGGTCTTCTCTAGGTCCAATGTGTATGGAAGAAGAAAGGCATGGCCAGGAGTTCCTAAGCCTCTTCCTTCTCTCTGCTCAGACTGCTTGGTTCCTGAAATTTTCTGGCCTTGTGTTCTCTGATGTGGTTTATCTTCAGGTAGATGAACTTGCTTCCAGGTCCAAGGCTAGTTTGAGGCCTGGAATGTGGCTTGTTATCAGGTCTCTGGTTTGCCTGATGCTCTCTGGGGCTGCTGCTTCTAAGGCAAAGGTATCATCCTGCCTGCAAGCTCCTTTTCCTGCCCCTCCCTCCTCAGCAGCAGGCTTAGGCCCTCCCTCCCAGGAGAAATCCATTTGTCTTCCCAGGAAGGGAGTGGACAAGCAGCTGAGAGGTGGCAGGGCTAGTAGAAGCCAGTGTTGAAGCTGCTGCTCCCAGCACTGCAATCCTCAAAATGCTTCTAGCCTGGCCTTGGACGCTCTAAAACTCCAGGGCAGTATTTTTTTGGTTTATCACCCCCCTGCCTTTGTGTACTGCTGGGCTGGAGTGAGGTATCAAGACCCCACCTTCATTCTTTGTTCCCTGGGGGGTTCTTTTCCTAGGAGCCAGTCCCTAAGCAAGGCAGGATAGAGCTGCTTCCTCCTCCCTGCTCCCCACCCCCAGCGGCAGAGGCTGGGAGGAGTGTTCAAAGAAGTCTAGCCCTTCTTTGACAGAGGGGGAGGCCTTACCAGCTGCTCCTAGTCTCTCATTATACTCCTTCATGGCCTTTGGGTGGAGATGAGATGATGGGCTAGGCTGGAGGGGAGAGGGTGGGCACAGTGAATCGGATCTTAGAAAGCAGATGGAGGTTTCAGGTGCAACTGACAGGTAGGCCTGAGGAGGAGGTGAGTTCCCCCTCGGAATTGTACCTCTCTAACGCCCCCTCCCCGCTCTAGCCTGGATTGGAGGTGGGGGAAAGGGAGGAGGAAAAAGGAACCAGGAAAGCACCTCTCTTCCCCCTCGCTCAGCGCCCCCTCTCTCTCCCTTCCTGCCCAGGAGAAAGCTGCGAGGACAAGAGCCCGCCGGGCCCAGCATCCAAGCGGGTACGCACCGCGTACACCAGTGCGCAGCTGGTGGAGTTGGAGAAAGAATTCCACTTCAACCGCTACTTGTGCCGGCCGCGCCGTGTGGAGATGGCCAACCTGCTGAATCTCACCGAACGCCAGATCAAGATCTGGTTCCAGAACCGGCGCATGAAGTACAAGAAGGACCAGAAGGCCAAGGGCATCCTGCACTCGCCGGCTGGCCAGTCCCCTGAGCGCAGCCCTCCGCTCGGCGGCGCCGCTGGCCACGTGGCCTACTCGGGCCAGCTGCCGCCCGTGCCCGGCCTGGCCTACGACGCGCCCTCGCCGCCCGCTTTCGCCAAATCGCAGCCCAATATGTACGGCCTGGCCGCCTACACGGCGCCGCTCAGCAGCTGCCTGCCACAGCAGAAGCGCTACGCGGCGCCGGAGTTCGAGCCCCACCCCATGGCGAGCAACGGCGGCGGCTTCGCCAGCGCCAACCTGCAGGGCAGTCCGGTGTACGTGGGCGGCAACTTCGTCGACTCCATGGCGCCCGCGTCCGGGCCCGTCTTCAACCTGGGCCACCTCTCGCACCCGTCGTCGGCTAGCGTGGACTACAGTTGCGCCGCGCAGATTCCTGGCAACCACCACCATGGACCGTGCGACCCTCATCCCACCTACACAGATCTCTCGGCCCACCACTCGTCTCAGGGACGCCTGCCCGAGGCCCCCAAACTGACGCATCTGTAGCGGCCTCCGCTGGCCCGAACTCGCGGCGCAATTACCTCTTCTGCTTTGGTGGTGGGGGTGGCGGGCGGGGCCCGCGGGGCAGCTGGGGACCCCCTCCCCCGCTCTGGCCCTGCCGCTGCCTCCCGGGTCTCTGGCCTCCAGCGGCAGAGGCGCAGGCGACCAGGCCTCCCCTCCATGCGCGTCCTCCTTTGGGTGACTCGCCATAAATCAGCCGCAAGGATCCTCCCCTGTAACCCTGACAGTGCCACGTACTGAGGACCGAGGGACTCTAGTCTGGTAATGGTGTCCCAAAGGTAAGTCTGAGACCCATCGGTGGTGTGCCCAGCAGAAGGATCAGAGCCCTGAGACCCCTGAGAGCCCTGGTCCTGGCCCGCGTCTAGCTTAGTTTCGGAGACCTTAATTTATATGCTCCTTCCCGTCCCGTAAGGATTGCATCGGACTAAACTCTGTATTTATTTGAAGCGAATCATTTCGTTTCCCTGATTATTTATCCTTGTCTGAATGTATTTATGTGTATATTTGTAGATTTCTCCAGCCGAGTTTAGGAACGCGCTCCTAGGCCTTGGGGCCACATTTCACCTCTTTAGTCCCCTTGGTCTGAACTAGTTGAGAGAGTAGTTTTGAACAGTTGTAACCGTGGCTGGTGTTTGTAGTTGATGTAAAGGATTAAGACCGCAAATTGTCCTTCATGGGTAGAGAGTCAGGAAACCCGGTGGCGTTGCAACAAGACACATTAGTCAGTTCTCAACAGCTATAGCCCTTGCCACTAGACACAGTTTATTGATTTCAAATTGTCTGGTACTATTTGAACAAATATTTAGAATAAAAAAAATTCTCAGTTGGAAGTGTATTTGTGTTAATCACGCACACTTGCAAGCAGATCACTATGCCTTTACCTTTTGCACAATCCCTATGGAAGGCCGGCAATAGACTGACCTTTTGAAAAATTATTTTATTTCTTTGGGATCTAGTTCACAGATTGATTCTGGGCATACTTTATTACTTTCCAGCTGTTGAAATTAGGGGAAAAAATGAGGATGCAAACCTAGAAAGGTTCTGGGCAGGATGATTTGGATAGGGCTTTTCGAAAGCAGTGCTGGCTTTGCTGTTTCCTAACGCCCTCTTTCCAGACACAATTGACTTTTACATTGGGGAGGCCAGAGATCACTTTTCTGCATTAAGTAATAAAAAAAAAAACTTTGAAGAAAACTGACAATCAAAGAAAAGACATAAGAGAAATCGTAAGAAGAATTGAGCTATGAAAAAGCTAAGGTGCCAAAAAAGAAATCATTATTTGGAGATACACACCTAAGCTTTTTCTCTAGGAAATGCCGTCATAAATTCTTCCTCTGTAGTGGTCATTAGTTCATTTCTAAAGAAAACAAACCTTCCCCAAGATGTAAAGAAATAAAGTTTCATTAATGGAACATAACAAGTGTAAACACCTTGTTTACTCCTGTTTCTTTGTACAAAACGGGCAAAAATGTCTTCAAGGTTTTATAACCATTTTGTAAATATTATCCTGGCTTCAGCTAGGGGCGGACAACTTACCCGCTTCTTTGGAAGGGACCACTTAGAAAAACGCCTTCAGATAAGGTTCAATTCTTTTGTATTTCAGCAAAGTCAGCCCACGCATCTCTATTTGGTTTGACAAATACTGCAACTCCTACTACATACCCAGTGACACGAGGTGAAATTCCTATTGTGTGGAAATAATTTAACTTCTGATCTTCTGGTGGAACAACAATCGTTTCTATTTGGATGTTTGTGTTTCGCTAAGTAATGATGGCTCAAAATAATATTTAGTTTCCTTGTTCCTTTGTGCTGTTTTTTAAATGGCATGTTAGATTGGGGGCGGGAGGGGATATCCTTTTGCTAAATTTCACTTTATCTGAGCAGATTTAAAGCATATATGTTGTAGAAGTGTATCAACAGAATAAATGACTTCAATCGAAGGCATATTTTACCCACTTTCAAGGCTTAACATTGTTTTCTATAAAATTTGCATCCATAGGCAAAATTTTTAATTGTCTTGTAAAATTATTTTTTAAGCTACTAGGGAAATCAAAGAAGAGCTCGCTGCCTTGCAGGGATTACAACTACCTTTCTTAACTGGCTAAACATTAAATAGATGAATTGTCAGGCTGCTTAGATTCAGCCCGGTTTTTCCCTCATCTCCTCTTCCTACCATAAATAATAATAAAAATACATAATGCATCATGGCTCTAGGCGTTTTCCAGCGCGGTGTGTTACCGCAGGAGTATCTGCTGAGTCTGCGGGTGTCTGCAAAACCCCAAGTGTCATTTGCGGCTAAGGGTTTCATGGATTAGACTTTAAACGGTGTCTAGCCCGGTTGACATCAGCTTCCTCTCGCACTCAGGCTCCAAGGAAGTGCGGGGTTGGGGGCTCCCTCTCCAGGCAGCCGCAGCCTCCCCAGACCCTCCTCTGGAATGGGGTGAAGGCTTGCACCAAATCTGCGACTCTCTCCCACCTCTGGAGGTTCCTAAGACTCCTGAGAATGGCTCGGATCCGTTCCTGCCATTGGCATGAGAGTCATCTGATGGGCACACTCAGTCACTCCTGGTGCGGGTGCGGGTGGTGGCGAGTCGTGGGAGGGAGCGTTCCCGCGCGCCTGCCCGCCCGGGCGAGTGCTGGGGCCCGCGGCACAGCCATTTAAAACTTCATAAATTATAAACAAGCCGCCTTGGCCTTCGCCATAAATTCCGCTCCTCTTGAGCCTGCAATTAGTGTTAGGAAGCACCCGAGTCTAAACACAACCAAACGCCCTCTGAAGGGCCCAACTGCCCGAGGTTGCAAACCTTTATTTATTTCCCGGTGCCACCCCCTCTCCACCCGAGGTTTGCTCTCACAGTCGCCTCCTCCCCCGCCACCGCAGGCGGTACACACTCGGCTGGGTTCCCGCTCCACGGAGGAAGGTCACAATAGCTGCTCTATGGGCGGAGGCGCCTGCCTCCTCCCTCTCGGGCTTCAGAGAAGCCGAGAAAGAAGAGAATGGGGGAGGGGAGGGGAGGGGAGGCCCGCCCAGCTATGGTGCCCAGGACCCAGGCCTCTCCTCTCCGGGAGGACCCGCAGCGGGAAGGGGGAAGTTGGTGGGGGAAGGCAAACTCCACCCTAGCCGGCGTCTCTCCCAGCAAGGGTGCAGGAAGGGGAGGTAGTAGGGAAGCGCACCAAGGCCTCGAGGCTGCTCGAAGCCTTGCCACCAGGAGCTGGGTTGAGAGTGTCCTGGAGCAGCCTGGTCTGCACAGAGCAGCCGCGCCATTGTGTGCGAGGCGCCACGGGTTCCGCGGCCGGAGAGGCCATACAAAGGCAGCGCGGGGCCAAGGCCTCGCTTCCGGGCATTGGTCTGTGGGAGGTCTACTTCGTTTGCCCAAGGAAAAGAAATGGCTTTTTGGCTCAGGCCTTGGCCAGCTCTGCTTTTTTCCTAAAGAGTCCGCTTCGGAGAGGTGAAGATCAGGGAGGTTGTGGGGCCCGCTGAGATTTAAGAAGGAGGTCAGGGCCCGGAGCCCAGACCCCTGTGTGAGGGGCGGCAGTCGTTAGGCGTTCCTGGTTGTTCTGCCCAGGCAATCAAGTGTGAATTAAGGCAGGATAGCATTGAGGCTGCCAGAATGGCCCGTTGCAAAATGGAAGGTGGGGATAGGAAAGAGACTTAGGCAGAGGCAGAGCTTTCTCTGCAATCAGGAAAAACTCAGGACAGCCCCTGGAAGTGAAGTGCTGAGACCCAACTGAGCTAGCCAGAGGGGATGGGGAAGTGGCAGAGGAAAGGCCTGGAGAGTAGTCCTGGCCACTGGTGAGGAGGTAAGAAAGGGCAATGCAGTAGGTATTCTGCCTCTTCCATTTCAGACTTCAGCCTCATCCAGGAACCTGACAGAGAAAAATCCGCCTCTGATGGAATCATTAAGTTAACCATCCATTTGTACCATCTCTTTGTACAGGCTTTCAAATGAGAGAGAAGGAAAGAATATAGAGCAAGTATGTTCCCCTTGGTGCAGCCCCAAGCCTAGTCCCTATCAGAGACACATCAGCCAAATTGGTTTCCAAGGCCCCAGCGGCTGCTAACCTTGCTGAACAAGATTTTTCAAATTTCTATCTGTAAGGAGTATTCAAAGATAGTGATTACCTATACTAACTGCTAGTCCCTTCTCCCTTCCCAGTCTGTACCAGCCCCCTGGCCCTTGAGTGAAGTGCATCTTCTCAGCTAGGAGGATTGGGAGCTCAGGCTCTCCATCTGTTGAGGTTTTTCATTAGGGAGGTGGAAGAGGATGTGTGTGTGTGGGTGCATGACTGAATAACAAAGAAGTAGCCCTTCATTCTAGTAAGAAGTGTTTCTGTGCTTGACCTGGGGGAGCCAGAAGCTTGTTTACACCTTCAGTATTCAAGGGACTGTCACAGGCCCATTTGGACTTTATTCTGAGAATTAGCTGAAACTTCCTTCTCATGTCAAGAAGTGGTTAATTCCAGTAACAGGTCTAGGAAGATCCTCTTCATCTGGGAGTTCTTGGCATTACTTTAGTCCTTTTTTGAGAAACTGAAAGAAAAGAATAGGAAGAACAGAATTTTGTGAAGGCAAGAAGAGGCAGAAGGCCCAGTCTGCACAGGCCTATGGCCTGACCACTTCAAGGCACTGCAACTTCCCAGAGAGGGTGTGTACTTAAGGCTGGGGGAGCAGCCTCTACTTATTCCTAGACACTTTGGGCACCAGAAGCTGAGGTTGGGCTGTCACCAGCCAAGCCTTTACCAGCTGTGAGGGCTGGCTCTCAGATCTCTCTTGCGCAATGACTAGATGGAGAGAAAAAACACTGGGTAGGTGAGTCCTCTGAACCTACTGCATTGGTGGTGCTGGAGAGAAAGGATAGTGAATGGAAAGGATCATCACAGAGGATTAAATGTTAGTTCTCATCATGCCTTTGTTTTCTACTCCAGCTACAAATGCCCTTATCTTTGGGGTCCAAGGTTGGTGTCAAATGGATTTATGTACCTGTCCTAAAGCCCATTCCTGAATACTTCCCTCAGGTCTCACACCCACTTTGGAAAGTTCAAAAGTACAAAGACAATCCAAGGGTCCATTTTCAGACCAGGTCTAGCATGAAACAATACACAAAAGATTTCCACACACAAGGGAAGAGCCAAGGTAGATGGATGCCCAATCATTTGCAGTAGCAGAGGCAGGTGAAGGGTCCCTTGGAGATCTGTAAGGTGTAAGCTATTTGCATGGGTCTTCTTGTCCTATAGTATGTGGCAAAGTGTCTTAACTAGTTCCTATGGCTAATCTGGATAATTTTTATGGAAGAATAATATAAGGAAAATCACAAAAGAAGTAGGGTTTTAACATGAGAGATAGAGGAGAAGACCCTACTTTAAAGAGGAATTCATGGAGAGCTCTGGTACAGACAATGTGTTTTCATCTGGGTAGCAGGCCTTAAAACCCAGCCAGGAGGGCTTGCTGGGCGAGGAGTATCCCTGACATTTGAGGAGAAGGCCTTTTGATGGCTCTATTGTTCACAGTGCTGCCCTACAAATACCATTCTTCTCCACCACCTCTGCAAATGCCAAGTGGAAAAGTGGGTTGGGTGAGCTGAGCTCTTAGGGAGCTGGTACAAGGGTCCCTCTCCCGCCTCTGCTACTCTTTGGGGCACTGAAGACGCCACCCCTGCCGCCTTCAGAGAACACATAAAGGAAGTCCTGACCTGTCCTTGGACCCGGGGACATTCTGGGGAAGGGGCTGAGGTGGAACTGGAGTCTGAACGCCTCTGTCCCCCGCCGGGAACAAAAGCTGCCGCCTCCCAGGGCGGTCTGGCGGACGCGCAGCACAAAGGCCCTCT